GACACCCTGGAGGAGAGGGTCCCTGGGGAGGCCTCAGAGCCAGTTCTCAGGGACCCCATCTCATCAGTCACTCCTCTGAGAGAAGTTTCAAAGTCAAAAGTGGAGCAGATGGTGTGGCCCCTGGAGGAGGCCATGGGGTGGAGCAAGAAGCAGAAACCGTGTCCCGCAGGGAGCAGATGAAGGAATGAGGACGTTCAGCCCGGGGAGGAAGACTCAGCGAGCTCTTGCCAGGAGCGGAAAGGGCCGGGTCGGGGAAGGGGGTGGTCCTGTTCCGTGCAGCTCTAAGGGTCCAGCCCAGCCCGGGGGCCAGGGGCCGGGGAGCAGGCCCTGACTCCTCTCCACTTCCTCGCCTCTAAAATGGCCACAGGCACCCTTGATGAGTGCGAGTCAATGAGATGAATGCATCAGGAATCTGCTCAGTGAATGATCACAAACATCATACACCACAGTGTCAAGGGCTTTGTTCCTGGCCTGGCGCTCTCGATTTTAACCCCGATAAAACGCTGGGCTCTAGGACTCTGTACGGCCCTTCTGAGGCTCCGATCTGCCCAGCCTGGTTTCCGATCCTGGCTCTGCCACTTACTGGCTGTGTGAGCTCCCCCAGGCCTGTCCCTCTCTGAGCCCCGCTCTGCTCCAGAGGCCTGCTGGATGCACGTCACGGAGCAGGTGCCCGACGGCACCTCGGCTCCCTTGCACTGCCCCGCCCGCCCCCCCGCCCCCCGTGCCAAGCGCTCCAGGGGCTGAGGGCGACTGCCTGGCCACAGGGGGTCTGGAGGGAGGATATGGCAGAGCCCTTGGGCAGAATTCCAACGTACCTCGGGCACCTGGGGGTGTATGGCACTTGTCCCACCATCCAGGGAGGCTGCCAACAACCTGAGTGACAGTGGAGATGGGCTGCTTGTGTTTGGAGCCACAGTGACAGCCGTGCCTCATGCCACCCACTCGCCGGGTGGCTCCCACCCAGAAGCCGCTGGGTTCCTGCAAGGGACCAGGGCGAAGGGACCAGGGGCTGCTGGTATGGTCCCCAGGAAAAGTTCTGTCCCTGCCCCTTACTGAACGGGTCTTCCTTCCCTGGGCCTATTTCCTCATCTGGGAAACGGGGCAAAAAGAATACCGCCTCCCGTAGGGTCCCAGATAACTGGTGGGAGCCACTGGCCCAGTGACAGGGGCTCAGTGACGCCTGGGCACAGGTATCCAGGACGAAGGTGTGGGGGAGGGTGGAACATAACAGGTTCTTTGTTGTTGTTGTTGTTGTTTTTTCAAGATTTTATCTATTTGACAGAGACACAGCGAGAGAGAGGGAACACAAGCAGGGTGATGGGGGAGGGAGAAGCAGGCTCCCCACCGAGCAGGGAGCCCGATGCGGGACTCGATCCCACGAAGGCAGACGCCCAACCGACTGAGCCACCCAGGTGCCCCGGAACATAACAGGTTCTTATTCACCGAGCACCTCGGTCTGCAGGGTACGTATCATGTGATCCTCAGCTCCCCAAGAAACGCCAAGTCTGAGGGGGGGAGTGAGGGCCAAGTCTCAGGGAGGGGGGGATGGCTAAGACGGGACGGGAGCCCAGGCCTGCCTGACACCAGGCCTGGCCAGCAGAGATGGGGACCATCTGCTGGTATACAAGTTACTTCAGCCACCCATGCCTCAGTCACCCCATCTGTAAGAAGGGAGTAGCAGAGGGGCCTCCAGGGGCTGTGGTGAGGCTCTGAAGATGTGGCGCAAGGCCTGGCCCACGGCTGCAGCCACGGAATGTGGCTCCTGACAGACCACACGCAGGGACCGCGCCCACCGTGGCTTCAGGAAAACGAAGTCACAAGCTTGTGAAGAGGGTGGGTCTCCACCCTGCCTCTTCCTCGAGTCCCCCGCCCCCCAACCACCCCCCACGGGGAAGCTCTGGGTTAGCCTGGAGGCCAGGAGCCGACACAGGTGGCCCCTCATTTCCCTAGAACGCATGCCCGACTGGCGGCCCGTGGGACACTGGTGGCAGGGACATCCGGCCCCAGTCAAATGGTTCACGCTCCGAGCCCGGACTGGTGGCCGGGCCCCCGACCACTGCAGGGAAATGAGGAGGCTCCTCGGGCCCCTGCGGACACGGGCACTGATGGGGGCGGCCATGCAAAGGGGGCGGGCACCGGGCCCTCAGGAGCCACCAGCCGCAAGTCAGGGCGCCAGAGCAAAGGAAGGGAAGGAAGGGCTTGGGGGCCCCTCCCCGCCTCCCCCTCCCCCGGCCCTATAGTTAAAAGGAGGCAAAGGCACCGGGTGGGGGTGGTGCAATGGAAAAGAAACAGCTAGAAATCGTGGACCTGACAGAGCGGCTGGCAAGGAGCACGGGCTGTGGACACACAGCCCCGGGTTCAAACCCCGGCCCCCCTATGAACCTGCCGCGTGACCTCTACTAGTCCTTCCACAGAAGGCAGGTAACAGCCAGTAAGGTCAATGTCGGCTAGATGAGACCAGATAGATAAAGCCAACTCTGCTGTGTCAATGTGACCCTGAGCAAGCCACTTCATTTGCTCAAAGACACTAACCAGCCCTATGCATCCCCTATAAATGCAGCCACCACCTTTCCCGCCCGGGAGCTCCAGCCAGGGCCCTCTGGGGGCAGCCCTTCGTCCCCGAGTGAAGAAGCCCCCTCTGGCACAAATCCCTGGTAGCCCCTGGGGAAGCCAGCTGGGGGTGCTGCAAAGGGCAGAGTCTCCATCCCCTCCCCACAGCTCTTGAGATCCTGCCCACGAACAGCCCCGATCAATGAACCCTGGGACAGGGAGGTGTCACTCGTCTAGGAGCTCTTTTTACGTCCTTTGGAGGCAGGCCAGGCCAGTTTCCCCTCCACGCTGGCCAGCCAACATGGACTTCAACCCACCCCCGCCCCGTCATTTGGCCAGTTGAGGTCTTTCCAAGGTAGGTCAGTGCTGTGTATGGACATCTGGGGGGAGGACAGCAAATGGGTTTGGGAACCACAGGCGTGGCTTTATGTCCCAGTGATAGACCATACCCTTGGCAAGCCCCTTCAGCCCCTGTACCCGTCTCCTCTTCTGTGAAACGGGAGCATGGCAGCGTGTGACCGTGTGAGAAAACAGTCCTCCAGAGAAGCAGAACCAACAGCATACACAGGTTTATTATAAGGAAACTGCTTGCACAATCTTCTAGGCTTGGTTAAGTGCAGAATCGGCAGAGTAGGCCAGCGGGCTGAAGACCCAGGGAAGAGTCACAGCTGAGTCCAAAGGCTGTCCATCGGCAGAATCCCTTTTTGCTTGAAGGAGGTCAGTCTTTGTTCTATTGAGGCCTTCAACTGATTGGATGAGGCCCACCCACAGTATGGAGGACAATGGGATTTACTCGGAGTCCAATGATTTAAATGTCAATCTCATCCAAAAACCACCTTCATAGAAACATCCAGAATGTTTAGCTAAATACCTGGGCCCCAGCTAAGTTAGCCCAGCTAAGTTTTCACATAATCTTAACCATCACAACACAGTAACAATGGCTGTTGCAATGTATACGTGGTTAACAAGGTTGAATCATTAATTCTGTACCTGGCATTGTTCTGAACAGTTACATGATCTCATTCAGTCGCCACGACAATCAGCGTGCATGTGCATGTGCATGTGTTTGTGTATTAGTCCCCATCTCACAGATAAAGAGAGAGAAGATCAGGGAGGCTGCACAACTTTCTGAAGGCAGAGAGCCGGGATCTGAACCCATCTGACTCCTGAATTCCCATACCTCCAGCCCATATTCCCCAAAATCAGCGTCCACCCTTCCTTCCATCACACCGAGGGCCCTCACTCCTGGACGTGAAGGACGTATGAACAACATATGTCCCACACATCAGCCTTTGTTTGAAGAAGCTAGCCAGCCCCCAACACCCCCACCAGAAAGATCAGCGATTTGATTAAGTAACAAGTATTTATTAGGACGGCAGCAGAGCGAATCACACCACCACCTCACTGTGTCGCACCAGTAGAACCAGGCCCACCTCCAGCGCCTCTCCCCAGCCGACTGCCCCGGCCTCTCCAGGCAGAACCTACGCTCTGCCCCAGAGGCCTGACCCCGGGCAGTGGGCCACAGTGGCAACCATGGTGCTCGGTGGCCAGCCTCATGGGGACCCCTGCCAGTGGTCCTTCACGAAGGGCCAGGACTCTTGGGGACCCTTAAAAACTGTCCTCCCAAGTCACCCCTTATTGATCCCCAGCCCCCTGCAGTCCAATTCGCAGGTGTTTCTGAGTGTCCACCAGCTGGCTGCATCAAAGAACGGGGCCGCCTAGGGGCCAGTCCACACAGAGCCACCTCTGTGCAAAGGCGGGAAGGTTCTACGGGCCATCCTCAGCCCAGGCCAGAGGGGAACCCAAGGCCAGGTCTCAGGGCTGGGAGAAGGTGGGAGGAGTCTCCCCAGGCCTGTTCTACCACAGCTGGTGAGGGCTGAGCCCCTGCAGGAAAGCCTGGGCCAACACAGGCGGGGAGGTGTGAGCCAATGGCAAGCTGAGAGAGATGGCACCAAGGCCCACCCAGGGTTTTCCAAAACCATAGCCCAAAGGGGAAGGCCCACCAAATCCTGTACCTCGGCAGATAGTTTCTGCCGGCCCCCCAAGCCCACCACACGAAGACTGCCAGGAATCACGTGGGCCTCGGGAGAACACAGGTGCCCTGGGGAAAGGCGTACGGGTGTCTAAGGCATATGGTCAGGCCCAGGTACCTGCTGGCCCAGGTGGGCGTGGGCCAACCGCTGGTGAGGAAGGTGGGCAGCCCAGACCAAAGAGGGCCAGGCCAGCTGGTGCCCCCGTGCCCTGCAGCCGCCCCAGGTCACACCTCATCCTGGAGCCCTGGAGGAGCCAAGGCCAAGGCCAGGAGACTCTGTGGATGCTCAGGTTCGCCAAGGGGTCCAGAGCTGCTTCCCTGTCCTGTAAGGGATCCTGGGAGGCACTCTATTGCCATTCCCCCAGTCCCTAAGCCACTGGGCCGCAGCGTAGAAGACAGGCGGGGAACCTGCCAGATAAAATCTCTACAACAACTGTGATAAAGGGGTGGCAGCCCTGATCCTCCCCAGCACGGTCTCAAATCAGAGCCTGCACCTGCCCCCAAGGGGTGGGACAGGCCAGCATGTAGCCCAGTCAGGGCAAGGGGGCAGTCTCGGCCCTGGAAAGGCGGCCATGCCACGGGGAGCAGGTCAAAGGGGCTGGAGTGGGACCAGGGCACTGAGGTCAGCCGTCCGGACAAACGGCAGAGGCGCCGAGCGGGGCTCACTGCATGTAGGCGTAGCACCAATCCCCCAGAGGCTCGTGGGTCTCCTTGATGACCTGGGGTGACGTCCACCGCAGGATGTAGTGGGGTCCCCCTGGCTTGTCATTGGTTCCTGTGGAAAACACAGCTCTGTTTTTCTCTGAAAAGATAGGGCAGCTCCAGGCAGAAGGGAAAGGGGTGGGAAGAGCTGACAGGCTAACCAGGGCACCAGCATAGGCAATAAGCAGCTCAACAAAAACTGAATATGTCCACGAGGCCAGGGTTTCCTGAGCACGCCCAGGCGGAGGTCAGGTGAAGCAGGACCCACGCTCCCTGGGTCCATTGTGCCCCACCTGCCCAAGGGGTGTCTGGGTGCACTGTGGAGAGAGCACTGCACTGGGAGCCAGGAGCCCTGGGTTCTGGCCCTGGCTTTGCACTAAGGCAGCTGGGATCTAGGGTGAGTCACTGCCCCACTCCGAGCCTCAGTTTCTCCATTTGTAAATAGGAGGAGTTGCACTGAGGTGACCCAGAGCACGGTGCTAAAAGGCGTGGGTGGTGGAACCAAAATGCCAGCTCTACTACTTCTTAGCCATGTGCCCTTGAGCAAGTCACTCCAGCTCCCTGTGCCTCAGTTTACTCCTCTGTAAAATGGGAAGGACTCTACCTTCCTTAACTCCAGCCCACAGTGTTTGCTATTACTCTTAACACCCTTGACGTGAAGGGTGTTAAGGCAGGTTCTGACCTCCTGACAGAACCTGCCTCCCCTCTGGAAAGGAGGACCCACTCACCAGAGGCTCGGGCCCCCCCAAAGGGCTGCTGGCCCACCACAGAGCCAGTGGACTTGTCGTTGATGTAGAAGTTGCCGGCCGTGTTCCTCAGCATCCTTGTGGCCTCCTGAACAACATCCCTACACGGCAGGGCAGCGTTAGGGCAGCCAGCTCACCTGCCCCCAGCCCAGCCCACCCCGGCTGCCTGGCTGACGGGGGCTGGGCCACAGGGGCTCTAGACCCCTCGGGCGAGGTCTGAGAGCCTCTGAGCCCCCTCCTCCTCTGGGAAGTGGCTAGCATGCCTCCCTCGCAGGGCTGCTACAAGAGTGGAACGGGAGGGTGAGGGTCAGGCTGCATGCACTCAGGGAGTGGCCCATCCTGGTCCAGTTTTCCTGGTACCCCAGGAGCTGGGGGAACCCCCAGACCCCCACCCTGCCCCAGGTTCCAATCTCATCTCCACCTTAGAAGCAGACGGGGCAGCAGCTAGTGCCACTGAGAAAGGAAAAGAAAAGGGTTTAGCATCATGGCATCCTGGCTCACATGTGGCCTCTGCAAGATGAGCAGTGAGCCCCTGGCCCCTGAGCCCAGTTTTTCTGCTCTGCAGCATGAGGCAATGACCTTGCTGAGCGGGGCTCCATTGGACCCAGGGGAGCTGGTCAAAAGCTCGTATGCTGTGGCCCTGCCCCTAGAGATTTAGTTCCGCTGCCTCTGTGTCCCCGTGCTTGGGCTGCCTGCCTGCCAGTCAGGGCTGAAGAGGGGCAGGGGCGGCATTAGTACCAGGATCCTCACCCAGGGGGTGGGTGCAGGGCAGGGTGGGGCAGGACACAAGGCCAACAGCGCAAGGACGGTGGCCACTCACTTATCCTGGGCGAACACTGCCCCCGTGAGGCCGTAGCTGGTGGTGCTGTCGACCAGCCGCAGTGTCTCCTTGTACTTGTCGTCCGGGTAGACATAGACGGTCAGCACCGGCCCGAAGATCTCCTGAGACAGAAGCCCCAGGGTCAGACCGCACCTGGACCGGAGCCCCAAGGCCTCCCAGTCGCCCTGCTCCAGACTCTGCCTCTCGCCTGTCCCCCCGCCTCGGTCCACAGCTCAGCACCTGCAAGAAGGCCAGGCACCTCCCGCGGGGCTCCCTCAGGAGAGAGCCATGCCCGGTTCCTGCCCCGCCGACCCCATCCCAACCTGGCAGAAGATCCCAGGAACCTTTCTGGCCCTTGGTGCCAGCCAAACCCACACCTGAGAGCAAGACTCCTGGCAGCAACTGGCACAGGAATTGCCCAGCAATATCACGGTCCCCTTGGCCACCCCTGCACTGCCACCTTGGGCAAGTGCTTTGACCCCTCGGAGCCTCAGTTTCTCATCTGTAAGATGGGAACACTAACACCGATAACACCCTCTCCTCTCAGTCAAGGGCCCAGCTGTCGCCACAGGCCGTGGAAGTGCTAGGACACCGCCAGGCTCAGCAGTGTCAAGGACACAGCCCTGGATTTGGGGTCAGGAGGCCTGAGTTCAAGGCCTGGCTTTGCTCTCGCTGGGAATGAGACACTCCCTTTCTAGGACCTCACACTCCCATCTGTGAAATGGGGTAGCACCACAAGAAGGAAGCAACACACAAGGGTCCCGTGTGCGCTGCGCTCAGGGGAGACTGACGTCTATGACCCAGGCTGCCCACCCCACTCACCTCCTTCATGATAGGCTCCTGAGGGTCCTTGCTCTCGACGATGCAGGGCTCCACGAAGTAGCCCACAGAGTCGTCACACTTGCCCCCGGCCAGGATGGTGAGGCTGGGTGAGGAGCGCGCATGCTCCAGCCACTTCTTGATGCGACCGAATGACTGGGATGGGTGGGAAGGAAGGGGTGTCACAGATGGGCTGGGAGGCCATTCCCCAGCAGCAGCGCCCCCAACACACTTGTTCCTTAAGGGCCCAAATTCCGGAACGGGGGAATGGGGAGAGGGCAAAGCCAGGGTCTGGCCAAGCCATGGCAGAAACAAGGACACGCACACCCATTTGAGAGAGAGAGAGAGAGAGAGTGTGTGTGTGTGGCAGAACCACAATTATACTTACAGAAACACAACACACACGAATGTACACACAGACATGTGCACGGCCACGAGGCTTCATGCATAACTACACGTTTATATGCATGTCTGTGTTACACATACATGTATGAACGTACACGGCCATCTATACACATACAACGTACACATGAACACGTGTGTGCACACAGGAGGTTTTTCTGTTCATGTCGGAGAAGGCGCAGAGGCGTGTATGTGGGCGTGTCTGCTTCCACGGGTGACCCACACACCTGCCTACACACCCAATCAGTGTGTTCGTGGGCACACGCACGCACACGTGTGTTTGAGCACATGCTGCAGCCCTACAGGCCGTCTGCGCGTGCGCATGTGGACCTGCACTTGGGGGCTTGTCCAGCCTCAGTGCAGGATGCGCGGAAAGCAAGTTGTCTGGTTACAGATGTTTCTGCCGGTTTCAAAGCGCAGGGTGGGGGCGTCCGTGTGGCCACCGGGCTGCCTTGCCGGAAGCAGTGGGGCCGGGTCGGCCCCAGTCAAGGCCCCCACATCTCCTCCTCCCTCTCCCACCCGGGGCAGGGCCCGGCCCCCCAGGAACGCCTGCTTCTCGTCCGTACCTTGGCATCAATCACGGCAGAGAAGAAGGTCCCAAAATCCTCTGCTGGCTGGAGGCGAGGGAGGCACCAGAAGAACTGGAGTCACCACAGGTCGGAGACAAAGGGAGCCCCTGCCCCGCACAGCGCCCCCCCCAACCCCGGCCTGCACACGGCCCAGGAGCCTCCAATCCCATCAGCCACCCGCTGGGCCGCGGCAGGGAGGCTGCGCCACTCACGTCGCCCACTTTGATCCTGCCGTGCTCCTGCAGCAGCCGCCCTTTGATCTGCGGCCACAGCGACTGTGGCACATAGAGGCGGGAGCAGGCTGAGCACTTCTGGCCGCCATACTCGAAGGCCGAGCGCAGGGTCCCGCTCACCACGCTGTCCACGTCGGCCGAGCCGTGCACGAAGTGGAAGTTCTTCCCCCCACACTCTGCAGGGGAGAGGGGGCATGAGGGGAGCCGGCTTCCCAGCCCTCCCACCGCCCCACCTGCACCTGTGCACAGGTGTGCGCAGCCCCAACCCCGGAAGCCGGCGAGCCAGGCCCATCTCCCACCCTACGGCTGGGGAAACTGAGGCTGGGGCAGGGGTGCTCCCATCATCAAGACAGAAGGACCAGAAACCAAGGCTCCCAGGAGCCAATCCATTCCCAGAAGCGGGCGTAGCTTTCTTGGCGCCTTCCTGACCCCCCAACCCGGTGAGAGGAGAGGGAGGGGCTCCACTCCATGTTGGCTACCAGGGCTGGTCCCTCTTCCCTACTCATGGCAGTGAACCACCCCCCTCATTTTCTCAGCCCCTGGGCCCTGGTTTCCTCCCTCCATGAAACACGAGTGACCAGCAGCTCCCGGTCACAAAGCACTAACCACCTCCCAAGCTCTACTCAAAGCACTTCCTGTTTTGTCTCATGAAAGCCCCAAAGAAATCCTGTTACCATCCCCATTTTTAAAGACAAGAAAACAGCGCATGGCTGGCTCAGTCAGAAGAGCATGCAACTCTTGATCTCTGGGTTCTGAGTTGGAGCCCCATGTTGGGCGTAGAAATTACTTAAATAAATAAAAACTTAAAAAAACATCAGTCCTTGCTCCTGAAGATACATCATGCCTTTAAAAGCATTAAAGGCTCCGGGAAGTCCTGCAGACACGGAATCTGTTTTGCTTCAACACAGCAAATCTCCTTGACCTTGCAGGTGTTTCTTTGTGGGAAACTTAGTAATATTTCAGTAAGCTCCAGCCTTGCTGAGCTCTCGGGCCCCTGTCCTGCCGGCCCCCCGCCCCCTACGCCACCTACACTGGCCTCATTCCCACCGCGTGGCCTCCACACCTGCAGGTCCCTCTGCCTCGATCTCGGTAAATAGCCGCCACCAGACACACGTGGCTATTTACATTCATACTGATTTAAATGAAGCAAAACAAGCCATTCACTTCCTCGGTCACACCAGCTGCCTATCAAGTGCTCAACAGGCACCCATGGCTACCGACCACTGGCCACCGGCCACCAGCCCGGACAGCACAGACACGGAGCATTTCCATCACCGCACAAAGCTCTACCGCACAGCGCCAGGGCCTGCTCGGTTCTGCCTCCCAGGTCCTTGCGAGGCTGACTGGCTTCCTCCCTGCATCCAGGTCTCAGCTCAAAGGCTCCTTTCTTGAGGAGAGAGCCACCCGACCGGTCACCCTAGATCACCCACCGCACCCGGTCCTGGGGACTCTGCACGCCTCCTTTCTCTCGTGGATTCTGCACATCATCTGTGTGCCCACTATCTGCCTCCTCCTACAGAACTCAAGTTCCTGAGGGCTGGGTCTGCGTCTCTCGCCATCAAGGCATCCCTGGTGCCCAGAAAGTGCCTACGTAGCTGCTTAATATTTTATTTGCTGAATGAAGAATGAATGAATGAATGAATGAATGAACGAACAACTGCACAATCTAGGGCACAAGCCTCAGGATCTAGCAGAGCTGAGGCTCCGCCCCTAAGGCCTCTCACTGCTCAGCTCCTGCAGGGCTACCCCCTCTATGGGGGCATCACCTCTGCCTCTTCCTCTTCCATGACAGTCAGGAAGCGGTCCCCAGGGGCCACAGGGAGGGCGCCGGGAGAGGGACCCTTACCTCCAGCCAGACGTGGGAAAGTGCGGAACCGGTCCAGGTTCTGGGCCACCTGCTTCCACAGGTGTTTGAAGGTGCTGAAAGCAGAGGACAGGGCAAGGATTAGGAAGTGAGGCTCAGGACCCTGGGACAGTGAGGGTCCTGGCGAGTGGGGAGCAGGCCCTACTAGAGGAAGGGGCCCCAAAGCCCAGCAGGTGGGGGCAGGGGTCAGAGCGAGGGCTGGAGGGCGGGAATGGAGTAGGCGGGGGCAGCTGGAGACAGGCTACATTCGGGACCCGTGGGGAGGGAGCAAAGGTAGGCCTGGTGGCAAGATGATGCAGACAAGGCCAGGGGTCCCGACTCCGACATTCACGGCCACGTGACCTTGCACTCATCACTCAACCTCAAATTGTGCACCTCATCTGGGAACTGCAGAGAACATTCCCACCTGGCAGAGCTGTTCTGTGGTGGTTCTAATGGGAGTCAAGTGCTTAGGTCGGTGTCAGACACACTGCAGGTGCCTGGTAGGGGACAGACACGGCCATGGTCTGGGAGGGGCGCCCCCAGCCCAGCGCCCCGGCTCCAGAGGCCAAACCAAGGAGGGTCCTCGGAGAGGGAGTGCAGGCCCCCACCTCCTCCCCAAGCTCCGAGTGTGACCAACCTCAGCACCACAAAACAATAAAAATGCTAATCACCAGGGAGCCTGCGACACAGTAGCTAATACTAATTTATGACTTTCCTACCTTTAAGCCTGCTGCTCATCAGAGCATGGCAAATGGGGGCCAGGCCTGCTCCGCCCGCTAATAGGCAGGGACCCGTGGGGCCTGCGCTGGCAGAGTGGGCCTTTTTGGAAAATGGTCCTCCTCAGCAATTCTAATGCCTCCATCACACCCGGCAAACCCTGGGAAGGGGGGGTAGGAGAGCCTGAGGCCCGGCGAGGGAGAATGGAAGCTACCGCAGGTGTCCCCAGGGACACCAGGAAGGCCGCCCTAAGGCAGACCCCGACATCTCCACTCAGGTAACTGTGAGGCACCTCACAAAGTGACTAGCATGTGACTTGTCATGTCCACCCATGCCTTCCAAGTGCCCCTCTGCCCAGAGCCTAGACTTTTCCATGGACCCCCCCCATCCACTGATCCAATCCCACGGACACGTGATCGCGCCTCCCTGCCACCTGCTCACTTGAATCCACTCCCACCGTCAACCCTGGTTCAGGCCTCTGCTGTCCCCTCCTGGACGTGGACAGCCTCCTCACCACTCTCCTGCTTCTGACCACTGGTGACTTGTCCACAAAGCAGCCAGAGTGGCCATCTGGGACAGAGACTGCAAATGCAGGGCCCCCGCGGCGCCAGACCAGGAAAGAAGGACCACTTACGGAGAGGCCTGGTGCCTGGTGACGCTGCCAAGGATCAGAGAGCACTCCATCCCCACCTCTAGCCAGGGGTGCCCCATGGGCACACAGGCCCAGAGGGGCAGGTTCTCAAAAGCAGCCTGAGATCTCAAAAAGATTTTTGCATGAAACCATCCCAACTGTACAAGGAGCCAAAGTAGAGCCACTTGCCAGGCTCAACTAGAGAGCGACCATCTGCAGCCTGTTTGAAATAAAGCTGCTTCACGCACACCCTGCGTATAAAACCTTCCATGGCTCCCAGTCACCTTCCGGATAAAGTCTAGACACCTCTGTGGGCTCATAGGGTCTTACAGTCACGGGACTAAACTCCCCAAGAACCAGGACTCGTCCACACGGTCATTGGACACACACACCTGCTCCTTAGTGAATAAATGAGCAGTCATGATCAAACCATTTCCTGCTCACATGCTTACCTCGGTCCCGGCACCCCACACTCCAGCCCCACGGAACCACCCCCAGCTCCCCGAGCACAGAGCTTTAGCCTCGAGGCCCTGCACGTGTTGCTCCCTCTCCCACAGCACTCTCCCTACCCCTGCTTTGCTTGGCTATCTCCTCTGCCTAGATACCACCACCTCCAAGAAGCCTTCCTGACTCTCGTCCAATTCATTCCAGGCTCCCTTGTGCCCTTCCCAGTGACAGAGGTGGCATCAACATCGACATCACCAAATGTCTGTAGGCTGCTTCCAGGCTGTGAAGTTCTTCCTCTTTGTTAACTCACTGGAGCCTCAACAATTACTCTGCGAGGCAGGGACCATATTCCTGTTGAGCAGGTCAAGAAATGAAGGCTCAGAGAGGTGAAGTGGGCCACCCATGGCCACACAGTGAGTCAGTGGGTATGGTCAGTGCCTGACCTCCGGCTCCTGCAGAGGTCATGAGGCGGTCGCCTGGGGAACATCCCTATGCCGCCTGAACATCCCTATGCCGCCTGACCCACCCCACCCCACCCCACCCCATGGGCTTACGGCACGCTGCCTGTGAAGTTGATACCACAGAGGTGTTCCGAGCTGGTGACAGTGTCGCCAAATGTGGGCCCATCGGCTGGCACAAACTGGATGATGTTGGGGGGCAGGCCCGCCTCCCGGAGGATGCGGTAGACGGCATAGCTGGCCAGCATGGCTGTGTCGCTGGGCTTCCACAGGACCACGTTGCCCTGCCCGGGAGGCACAGTGATGACTCACAAGGCCAGGGATCACCACCCGACTGCCCCCCTCCCTCATCCTGAAGCACAGCCATCCCTCACGTGGAGCCGCCAGGTCCCCCAGGAGGCTGGGATGTCCCCACTGCCCCAGGTGTCGGGCACTATGCCCTAAAAACCCTCGCCGGTGGGACCACACCCTGCCCCCACTGCTCCTTCACTCTGGCCACGGCCCCCTTCTTCTGGAAGCCTATACGACTGGTCCTGCCAACGCCCCTCGGGCAGGTCTGCTCTGCATGTTTCCACGTTGCTGAGCACTCACTGAGTGTGGCCGGCAGGTCTGCTCTGCGTGTTTCCACGTCGCTGAGCACTCACTGAGTGTGGCCGGCAAGGGCTCACGGGGCTGAGGACATGTGGACACCTGGGTACGTGCATGTCTGTCTGTGCACAGATGCACAAGGACAGCCCTGGGCAGGAGCAGCCTCGAGATCAGCCAGCCGCCCCGACTTGGGGCCCAGGTCCCCGCCACCTGCCAGCCCTCCTCCTGCCACCCCATAAGCCACCCAGGCCCTCTAAGGGCAGGGCTGCGTCACCCCCTTTGGCGGGAGCTCATGAGGGCGGCGGCCACCTTCTCCCTGACAAGGGCAGAGGAGCCAGGGACTTGGAAGCTAAGCCCGAATCCTTACTGTGTGGTCGTCTCCTAGACCTCACAGATCTCTGGCAGGGCACACAGTAGGCACTGGAAAGTGATCTGCCATCACCATCAACATTCCCCGCACACGAAGCCCGCACCAGGCCAGATGTGTCCCACGCACGTGTCCCACACACAACTTCACTTGCTCCCCACAACCCTGTACCCTGGGCTTTCCTAGATTTCCACTTCGAGGAGGAGGAAGAAACCCCCTCAGAAGTTTGGGGGCTTGCCTGGGGGATCCCCCGGCATGAGGCAGAGCTGGGATCCAAACCAGTCTCGGATCCCAAAGCCTTTCCGGGGGGTGGGGCCCACACTGCTTCTGCCTTCAGGGCGGCTGTCATCTGCGGAGGCAGGAATGAGAGCCCCCCGCCCACCCCCCCAATCTCATCACCAAGGTCATCCTCTTACCATCAAGGTCATCATCTTACCATCAAGGCCGGCGCCCCCGCCAGGTTGCCACCGATCGCCGTGAAGTTAAAGGGGGAGATGGCTGCCACGAAGCCCTGGGGAAGGGGAAGAGGGAGGTGGTGCCAAGCCCGAGGCTTCCTCCTGCAGGCTCCTGCCCACCCCACCGCCAGTGGGTACCTCCAGTCCCCGGTACACAACGCTGTTGGTGCTGGGCGGCACGCTGAGGGGCTGCTGCCCCTCTAGCTCCATGGCAAACTTGGCATTGAACCGGAAGAAGTCGATGAGCTCGGCCGCCGCGTCGATCTCCGCCTGGATCACCGTCTTACCCTGTGCGGACAGCCAGAGGGTCAGTGGCAAGAGACTTGCCTCCCGCTGGCCCTTTTCCAACACCGACCGTATGCCCACGGTGACATGGTGCCCACGGAGCTGGTGGCTCCGTCCCCCCAGGTGAGCAGGTGCCCCCACTAGGGGCGTTTGGAGCAAGAAGCAGGAGGCCTAACAGCAAACCCGTTCCTCCCGACAGACTTAAGGGTCGGGGAGGGCCTCTGGGCTGCAAGAATGGGGGTTCTCCGGATCAGGGCAGCCCCTCCTTGGCACACAGGGTCACCGGTGGTGGTCACCCTGCTTGGGACCTGGAGCCACAGCAGCTAAGATGCTCTGGCTCCGGCTCTGTGAGGCCACCACACCTCCTACAAGCTCCTGACTCTAGTCCAATAAGGCACCTTAATCTGGCCGTCGAGTGTGTGTGGCTCCCCCGGGACACTGCGAAGCCCACAACCACCCCAGGGGCCACTGAGAATCAGGAGACCCTTAGCTGGTAAGGAGCTGTCATACCACCTCCGTGCAGCAGAGGGGGCCCTCACTACAGGACGGGGAGCTGGCCCGGCCAGGGCGACCTGAGGGCCTAAGGCTCCCTCCCAAGGAGGGCGAAAATAACCCTTTCTCCCTGGGCTCCCTTCCCCACTTGGGGCTGCTGGTGCCACTCCCTGGCTCCTCATGCACTCAGTCGAAAAAGCTTCTCTGACTCCAGGGAGATGTGCTGCAAGGCCCAGGAAGATGGAGAACAGCTAACTCGATGACTTTCTCCAAAAAGCTTGTAGAGAGGTGACAAACACAGGAACTCATTATACCCAATACGATCTGAGCTGTAACTGGCAAATGAACAGCATGCTACAGGAGCACAGGGGTGGGACGAATCCTTTTGGACAGAGAAGATTCTGGAAGCCTCACAGAGGAGGTGATATCTGGGCTGGGGCTCGAAGGGAAGAGTTCACAGGACAGAGAAGAGAGAGTGAGCCTTCTAGGCAGAGCCACCGGGCAGAAGCCGGGCAGGGAGACGGGATGCGTGCAGTTTCCAGGGATCCTGCTAAATCCACACTGGTGACCTCATGGGCAGAGCAGCCGGCGAGCTGGACACGGGCCGGAAACAGAGGGCCCTGAGCGCTGCGCACAGGACTTGGGACATGACTGTCGGTGAGAGAGAGACCCTGGTGGCTCGTAAGGCTGCAGTGACCTGCGGGAGGTGTCAGAGAGCCCACTCTGAGGGCTGCGGAGGTCTGACTGAGCCTGGAGGACGGCACGGGGCCTCAGTCTCCGGCACGCAGAGCACGTCCTGGCACCCAGAAGCAGCCCAGCTGATGGCTGCCATATTGGATGGAGTGGGATGGCCTCCCTCCCCCCACGCCCACCCCACTGTGCCCACGGGTACCTCACCTGTCCCACCATGGTCTTGGCAAGGACCTCTGCCCTGCGCAGCCCGCTCAGCATGTCCGCCGCCTTCAGGAAGATCTGGGCCCGGTCTGCAACAGGCTTCAGGTCCCACTCTTTCCTGGCGGCCAACGCGGCCTCGATGGCTTTGTTGAGTAGGGCCTAATGAAGAGGAAAAGGTTCAGGGCTGTCTCCCACAGCGGGAAGGGCCCCAGGGGAATGGGCGAGGGAGACTGGAGGCCACCCTCCACCCAGGGACCCGTGGCTCCCTTAGCTCCAGTGCTCTCCCCCACACACAGGGGCAAACACAGTGTCCCATCACCTGCCGGCCCACCCCAGGCTCCGAGCTTGTCTGAGGGATCTGCCAGGTAAGTCTGCATGCCAGGGATTTGGCACTGAGTCCCTCAGCTGTTAAACGAGCTCTGCTTTCTCTTGCGGTCTCATCAGGGCCTCACCTTCCTCCTGGGGCCCCCAAACCCACCCACTAGCGCCACCGGCCCTCAAGGTCAGGTGCCTGGCCAGAACCACAGCCTGAGTCATTCACCTGACACCAGCATGCCCTCGCTGCCCCATGAGCCAGCTCCTAGACCTCCTGCCACAAGGCACCCCAACCCCTCTCGCTGTCCCTCCATGAAGCCGATCCTCTGTTTGCCTTCCTAACCACGGTGTTTCCAATGTCCCTGACTCAGCCTTGCAGAATCTACTCCCCTTTGAAACCCGGCTGCCTCGCAGCCATAGGCATGTCGGGGGATGTCAGCCCTGGCCCACGCAGCTCTCATCAGGCTCAAATGAAGCCCCCGCGGGCCCAGCCTCGTGAAAGACTCCACCCCCCACGGCCAGGGAGGGAAGCAGCGACTGACATCCGCCTCCATGCCGGCAGCCAGTGGGGAACAGAGGGCCAGCGCCCCTACCCGAAGTCGCCAGGGCCTTACCTTGTCTGCATAGCAGAACTTGGCCACCTTGTGTCCATGGTTGAAGGGCTGCAAGATGAGAGAAGAGCAAGGTCACTGCCCAGCAGGGAGGTGCCAGGACAGGTGGGGACGTGGCCAGGCTCAGAGCTCACCCTCTGGGCAAGAATCCTCAGCACACTCGCCCTCTCCCCTCCAATCCCCACATCCATCTCTCTGACCAAGGGTTACGGAGCACCTGCTGTTCGGTAAGTAAGACCACTCCTGCTTTGTAAGGTTCACGGTCCCGGAGAAAAGCATGGACTGCAGTCTTTGAGGAAAAGTGTGGACTTTGTGGTCAGACAGACACAGCTTCGCATCCCAGCCCCGCCACCTACTAGCTGGGGGCCGGAGGGAAGTAAGCTCCCCTTTCCAAGCCTCCTCCTGTGGGAAATGGGGACCCCCTGCCTCACAGCATGCGGAGAAGACCCAAGTGGGCTCAGAGGAACATGCTGCCAGAGCGCGTGTGGCACGCGGCTGTGACTCAGGCACGGGCGCTGTCCCCCCGTGAGGCCCCCAATGATGCCCTGCAGTTGAGACCCGCTCAGGATTTCTGCTGTCCCGAGTGCCTGGGGGACAGACCAGGCTGGCTTCTCCAGCCCCCGGCACGGGACCCACACAGACTCATGGAAAAGGGAAGACCCTCCACAAACATTTACAAACAGAACCCGGCAGCGCCAGATGCTAGCGTAAGCAATAAAGCAGGGAGAAACTTCACTTCTTTCCAGCACACCTGTCAGTATTTTTGCCACCTAGCAGTCTGCCAGTGGGCTGTTTGGGGCTTTCCTGTCAAACGTGGCAGCCACTAGCCACATGTGCCCGCTGACATTTCAACCCCGTTCCTCGGCTGCACCTGCACATTCCATGTGCTGGACAACCACGCGTGGCCCATGGAGGCCATAGTGGGACAGCATGCAGATACTGATCAGCCTAACTGCAGAAAGTTCTACTGGGCAGTGCTGGTCTAGGGTTCAGGAGAAAGTGGCCCTCTGCCCCTTCATTTCAACCCCCAGCAGAGTCACCTGTACCCTGTCCACACCTGAGACTGGCCTGTGATGCTCAGGGGCTGAGGAGGCACCCCGGGGCCAGGCCCTTCGACTCAGCATGCCCCCGTGGACCGCAGGTCCCCCACGCCAGCAGCCACGTGCCAGCCACTGCCTCCCACGCCTGGGCTCCCCCAGTTACCACGTGGCCAGGTCAGAGAAGCACCGCGAGCCATGAGAATGGGAAGTGCCTGCCCAGAGGGTGACCAGAACCCTAGCTGGCAGCTGGGACAGTGCTGAGGGGCCGGGTGAACTGAGTGATCGTAGGCTGTGCTCCCAGGACTGCGGGTGTCAGGCCCTCTGGTTGCTGATCCAGTAGTGGGGGCTCCAGGCCACCCCCTGTGGGCAACTCCTTCCCGGGGCATCCTCAGAACCCTCGGAGCTGGGGGCCGAGGGTCCTCACCCTTACCCGGCACGCACCTGCTCAGGGTTCCATCTGGACAGAGCCTGAATGTGCCTCCCCCATCTGCAAAAGGGCCAACCCTTTACTCTCCCCCAAATTACAGATCTAGGAGTTTGCTGGTCCAGCCAAAGTGTAGGTCAGTTCCTGGCTCAATGACCCTGAGCACGTGGCTTCTTAGGCTAATGTCATCACGGGGCTTCGCCCACCGTTGGCCCCTAAACCCCCTTCTGGAGAAATCCATCAGGAATCACGGAAGATGCTGTGTGAACTCCTCAGGACCTTTCTTGCCTGTGGGCAGGACTCAGTTATGGGCTGGGCAGTGTGGCTGTCTGGCAAGTGAGGGACACCACAGAAAACCCACCGTACACCTGCAGGAGAAAGCCTCCTGCCATCACGGTCAATGGCTTCCAGAGGTTTGAAACACAGACAGGTCTGCCCCCCGTGCTTTTTTGGATAAACCAGCTGCAGGCTCTGAGGGAAACAGGGACTGTTTCTGTCACAGCTGACGTCTGCTCAGAGGCCTGCATGCGGGCACCAAGCACTCAGCACGGATCAATCCGTTCACCCTGACAACAACCCTATGTACCACAACTCCTACCCCCTTTTTACAGATGAGAAGACTGAGGCACAGGAAGGTCAGCCAGCGGGCAGGAAGGGCAACCTTTTACACACAGGGACCTCCTTAATGGAGACTCGGGTGACCTGCAGCTGGGCCTCAGGAAGACTCAAGGAGCCCGGCCTGAAAACTGAGGCTTCTCTTCTCCTCTCTCCTCCTCTGTGAGGCAGCGCCCTGCACCTTTCAAGAGACCCACTGTGTCGCGTGTCTCAGAGGTGGAAGGTGTCCTTCCCGTAGCTTCCAGCCCCTCAAAGTGAGATGTCTGTTGCCAGTTTTAAGTTCTAGGGCCGTAAATCCAACCGGCCCAGCTGGGGTCGGGTGCCCACTTCTGGGCCAAGGAGTGGAGGCCCACGGTTTTGAAGGCGGCCAGCGGCCACCACCCACCACCGTGGGGGCAGGCGGGGAGCTCACAGATGTGGGCAGACCCTCCAGAGAGGTGCACTGCGCTTCCCCACCTGGGGCTGCCATTCCCCAGGCTTTGTTCCGGCTCTTTCACGGCCCCCTGCATCCCAGCTCCTCGCCTGGCTCTCTCCCCACCTTCCCACCCAACTCCCCAGCCACCCAGGAGTCCCGGACCCCCACAGGTCTAAGTCTGGACTCACAGGTGCTGCCAAGCCCTCACCTCTTCACTCTGCTGTCCTGAAATTAGAAAGCATTCTCTTGTAACGAACAACAGGGCTCTTCTGGAAAGTCTGGCCCTCCTTAACCCCCTCCAGGGACTCCTCAGAGCTCATGGAATAGGTTCCCTAAGCACAGGTGGTGAGAACCTCAGGAAGTCACGTCCGCCCACCCCTCTGCCCTGAATCCTCCACCCCGCTAGCTTCCTCTCTGTTGTGTAGCTCACTGAGCCTCTTCCCAGCTCGAGACTCGGCCCGAGGACTGAGCAGCCCTCTGCCTGGCAGCGAACCCCCACCCACCCTCATCCTCGGGCTTTGACTCAGAGGTCACCCCTCCATGGAGCCCTCCGACCGCCCTGCCTGATGTGGCCCCCGCATCCCCAGCACAGTGCCTGTGCCTTCCCCTGTCCCTCACCTGCTGGAACTCCCGTTTCTTTCTTTGTTGACCCAGGACCACCTGCCCTCCAGCAGGGCAGCTCCAAGAGGGCAGAACCTGCCGTCTGCCCTGGGCCTGGGCCCGAGAGGCATGGCTGGCTGGCTGGGTTTTATTATCCTGACTTACACATGCCCTGCGAGAAAGAAGAGCTGGGGTCTCTTCCAGCTTCACACAGGTTTCTGGGTGACACTGCCACAGAGGAAGCCACCTGGCTGACATACCATGGCTTTCATTTTGCAACTGGTTGCTGGACACAAAGCTAGAAGCTGCACGTATACCCATCTGCACAGGGTCTCAAAACATGTATGTGTGTGTGCGCACACATGTGCACACACTTTTCTTTTTCCATAGCTGAGGTGGGTATTTGCTTTAAGCCTTTCTGGGCTACAAGTGTCGTGGCCACGCCGGGGACAAGAAGGGGTGGGGTGAGTCCTCTGCCTGGGGCTCAGGCTCCCTGACGGGCCAGCTGCAAACGTCCGCTCAGCCATGAATCCTGGTCAAGATCCCCAACTCTCACAAAAGCAGGTCCCTCCCACCCTCAAACTGACGGGGGTGGGGGGTACAGAGCAGGTGACAACCTCTTAACCATCAAAGACCACTGGCCTCTGGCACCTGCTAGGAAGGGCCGGCTGTCGTATCACTGTCCCGGGTCTAGCAAAAGCCCAGCCGAGGGAAACGTGCCGGCAAGGTGCCTGAGGGACGCGCAGGCCGGCCACTGCCCCGCTGGGGCCAGAGAGGCAAGAGCCATGAGTGCAGAGAGCTGGCATCATGCACTAGGGGTGGTGGGGACCACTGGCCCCCGCCAGAGCCACCCACGGACGTGTTCCAGCCACGTGGTACCTTGTGGCCTTGCCAGCCTGGTGCGGCCACATCACCCCACCTTCCAGACGAGCCAGACATTTGAATGTGTAGGGGAAATCTCCCCCTCGTTAGGTTTGGAAACAAAGCTGCCGGTGTCCATTCATACCCTGACCTCCAGACGGCAAAGCTCCCCCAGCAGCAGACACGGACCTGCGGGGTGACCCCCGGCATCCCCAGGCGCTGGGCTTTGGGGATGTCCTCGGCCTGCACGCAGTGACAGTGTGCAAAAGGCGCCCTCTGTGCATGAGCCGAGACTCCTGTATGGACACTGCTCATCACATCGCCGTGTCCTTCTGACACCCTCGGGAGACATTTCTCTCCGGGGCCCGCTATGGGGAAGGGCTGTGCTTCTCCCATCATGCAGCTAGAATTTATTTCAAGAACACTCTGACTAGTGTAGTGATGTGTTCGCTTCCCTGCGGTCACTGGGAGGAGTAAAGGCAAGTCTGGGCTGTCTGCAGCACGTAGGGCTCCACAGTTCTCATCTCGGGACCAGGAGGCCACAGCAAGATGATCCTACTGCACTGTATGAGTTAATATGCTGCTTCCAAATCCTCCCTAGAAAATGCACTGAATCAAAATCAATGGAATGTGGTTCTGGAGAACTAGGATTAATCATCCCTAGTCCAGATCTAACTGTGCCACCCTAGGCGGGCCATTTAATATCTCTGAGCCTATCTCTTGATCTGTAAAATGGGCAGCGAACGCCCCGCTCTTCCTCCCTCGAAGAGAAGTGGCAAGGACCGAAAGAGGAGCCCATGCAGATGGGACAGGGCTTCTCAGCTGTATCTGCAGACAGAGCATGGCTCCAGCGGGAGGGCTTCTAGGAGGAGGCCCGGCCACATCCTAGGTGCTCACCTCAGATGAGCTTATCTTCCACTAGAGCAGCAGTTCCAAAATAGAGTCCAGGGCTTTGGAGACTGTCCTCTCTTTGGAAGGATTATCTTTAATTCTGACATTCCGTCCTTTCTTCCTACCCTCCAGGTGTCCAATGGGTCCATTTTCTAAAGAAAAGGCAAAGCTGTGGCAGTCCCTGTTTTAACTCCCTCCTGGCAGGCGTGAAGTCGGCATCTTTTATGATGATAAAGTTTCAAAAGCAGGGAACGGACCATAAACCCCTTTGGAGGCAGAGACCTGTGTGACAAGCTGATCTGTTGCCTGAGAGATGGACCCCAGGTTCGGGGAGAAACCGAGCCCCACCGGCCCAATGGACTCACCGACACCTGATAGCGCACGTCTGACGTCCACACCTCTTCGTCCCCCACCACACATGGAACGGCTTCCGTCCGGCCCTTCAGGTCCTTCAAGGCCTACGGAGGGGACAACAGGGTGGATGGGTACTTCCTCCCGCCTCTCTGCTCCCCCTAAAACCCCGGTGCAGGGCCTGCAAACACAGATGCCCAGGCGGGAACAGAAATACGAAGGGGCAGGGCTCTGAGGTCAGAGAGCATCTGCTCTGCTCAGGGGGCATCAGGACTCAGCCCCTGTCCGCTGTCACTTCCTGTCCTGCCGGAAGGGGAGGCAAAGGTTGCCAGGTCCTCCCATCGTAGACAGAATAGAAAACTGTATCTGAAATGTACGTGACATCTCACAATTTTTAAAATACTGGCAATTAACAGGACAATGTTTTTAAGCAGAAAACGTCTGTGGGTTTACAACCCCTGACCTGGACGGAGCCCCAGAGTGGCCCGGCTTGCCCCCCCGCTGCCCCTGGCCTCTCCGTCCTCCAGACGCACGGCTGTCCCAGACCCAGTTTCCTTCCAAGGCTGGGGGTGACGGCCGTAGGCATGGAGAGGCATCCTGGGGGGGGCTGCTGAAGGCTGTCCTCGCTCCATGCCCTAACCCCACTGGGTGCCCCCACCGGCCCATTACCTTCTGCAGCGCATCTCGCTCAGGGCTGCCCTGCGTGAATGCTAAGACCGGCTCATTGGCCACCTTCAGGGAGGCCGTGTGCTTCCACCACAGCCTGGGGCGGGGAAGAGAGGCACACAGGTCAGTGGTGGCCACAGCCAGATCCGGCCCCTCTATCTCCACCGGGGGGGGGGGAGGTTCTGTGTTGGCCCAGAACCCTGAAATCCAGAGCAAGTATAGAACTGGGGGGCAAGAACTGGCCCTGGGGTCCAAAATCGAAGTTCCAGGCCCAGACCTGTCACTGTGCATCCTCGGGCACGTAACCTGCCTCCGCTGGGCCAGTTTCTACATCTACTAAGTGAGAACCACCAAACAAACCCACACAGCCATTTGAAGTTTAAATTCAATCAATGCAAAACCACTCCTAAGCGTTTTGTACACGGAGGGGGTGACTCTCCCTTTCCCTCCCCACAACGTAGCCCTTATCCCCAAGGGCCCCGAGTTACTGCTTTCTCTGGGCTGAAAGGGCAGCCAGTTCCAGAACTCAAGTCTCATCAGAATGGGACCCAGCTGGGATTCCCTTGGCATCAAGAGCTGAGCTCTGGGTGGGCAAGAACATCCAGGATATGGGCCGGGACCTTGGAGGAGTGCCCTGAGCTCAGCCCGCAGCCACGGGGAGGGCGGCTTTCAGGGTTCAGGGTCCGATTCCCGGGTCCTGAGTTTCAAGAACTCCTTGTCCCGGAGACCTTGCTCAGTCTTGACCCTATGACCTCACTGACTGGTGACCACTGGTGACCACCGTCCCTAACACGTCTGAGGATGGGGGGACAGGTGGGTAAGAGCCAAGACGTGAGATCACTCATTCCTGAACTGGGGCCCCAGCTGGGGGGGCCCTCCAGGCCTCAGTGTCACTTGGGCTGTGAGTGTTGGGGGGGCCTTTTTATTCTTTCTCCCTGGGAATGGGTCTGGAGGCTCACGGACCAAAGGCCTGGAGGAAGGACACAAAACCAGGGGCCATGAGGACTGGTCCTTCATCCATTCTACAAGGTTCCTGGGCACCCGCTATGCCTCTGACACTGCTCTGAACACTGGAGACAGCAGTGACCATGACAGCAAGGCCTCGGGCCGCATGGGCTGCAGGATCTCCTTTTCCTTCCGGTGCCCCGCGGTTCTGGGTCAGGCCGCTTCGAAGAATGAAGAGGTAGACCAGCAGGGTAGGCAGCAAAGCAAGGTTAACTGGGTGACAGCGAAGTGACAGTACAAAGCTCCCGAAGAGAGAGGGGACTGAGAGGGTTGCCACCAGTTTCGAAGTCTCGGGGTTTTTATGGGCTTGTGCGTGGGCTGTTTTAATGTGATCAGTCCTCCCTGAGCCTAACATCCCATCTGTTTTTTGCCATCTACCTATCACAGTGGGACAGGATGAAGGACTCCCTCTACGGTGGTGCAAAATCCTTTTAAGGGTGGGGCGCCCTGTCCCTGCCTGCCTTTCTTCCAACTGTACTTCACCACCAGCAGCTCACCTCCAATGGGGACCATGGGCAAGAAACAGGTGAGGACAGAGGGGATGTGAGAACGAGTAAGGGGCAGGGTAGGGCTGCCCCGGCCTAGGTGATCAGGGAGGGCCTCTCAGGGGAGGTGTCCTCTGAGCGCCATCTGGGATCTCAGAAGGACTGGGAAGAGCATTCCGGGCACAGAGGAGAGCAAGTACAAAGGCCCAGAGCAGGAAGCGTTGACAGGAAGCGCTGAGAGGGGCCCGGGGGGTCCAGGAGGGAGGAGGGCAGGGCCCGGTTGCCCAAGATTTTGCCTAACGGCTCTAAGTGAGCTGGGCCTTCTCCCTCCTCCCCCACCCCACCCCCCAGGCAGCACCCACCCCACACTAGGAGGCAGGTCACATTCCTCAGGCCCCACCCTTCCCCTAACCAAGGGCAGAAATGTGGGGCGAGGCCGGCCTCCCACCAGCCCTTCCCTTGGGTTACTCTGAAGAGCAGAGGAGACAGTCACACAAAGCTACAGGTATATCCCATAAATTCAAGTCTACACTGACCCCCCCACCTATAGTGGGGAAGGAACAGAGAGGCTGGAAAACTCCAGCCGCCACAAGCCTCCACACGTCAGGAAAGCAGGGGTGGCGTGTGCCCCCAGGGCCCTCTGGAAGGTTCCAGCAGCAGCACCCCACCACCAATCAATCAGCTATAGCGAGGAGGGTGCCGCTGAGAAGGAGTGTGGGCTGGGAGCCTGGAGGTGCGTGCCCCAACCCCAGCCTGGACCCCGGCTCGAAGGGCGTGCAGAAAGCCCAGCTCCAGAAGCAGACATCTGTGGGACCGAAACCCCCGTGTGCTCCGAGAGACATCAGCCCATTATTACAAACTCGGTGGGTCTCAGATTCCCCACCTGAAAAATGGGGGCAGTACTGTGTGCCCTGCGGGGCATTGAGGGGTTAAAAGTGCTTGCCTTTCCTCACCCCTCCTGCTCTGTACTTCTAAGAAAATTGTCTTCGTAGATGTGTCTCATATATGTGTATATATATGTACACGTACGTATGCAAACACACCCGCAGAATGTTACCGCACCAGGCCAGGTGTTCAATGGCAAAATGGTTCTCAGACACCCCTAGGGTCACAACAATCAGGGGCTAGCCTGGGCACTCAACAGATAGTGCTGGAATAAACTTAGCACCACATTCCACCCAGCTTAAAATGCAGTAGCTACCAGCCCTCCTGAACCTGTTCCCTCCCAGGCGGTGTCAGAAGCAGAAATGCTGCAGGCCTCTCTCTACCCTCCCCAGGGCAGAGGCCCACTGTGACCACGGGATCACATTCCCCCCTGGCTTCCCCTCTGCCTGGAAAGTCTCCAAGCCCCGGCCCAGCTGCCCATCAGTCCAAATGTGGGGAACAGAATTCAAAGATCAGCCTGAGTGAAAACTGGAGCCAAAAATAATCCAAGGACACCTGACAAAACCAATCCCCTCTCCCCCTTTTATTTTGGCTCATGGGCCATTCGGGATTAACATGAGCACCCTTCCCTTGGCTCTGGGGAAGGCAGAGAAGAATCACTCACAGAACCTGGAGCCTCTGTGAGGATCTGCAAGGCCCTTCCAGGCAGGACTGCATTCCTCACTCTGCAGCAGCAATCTCGAGGGCACAGAGACAACTCAGATACAGGCAATGAAACCTGCCTACTCAGGGGCTTCTCCTCTCTTCTACAACAAAAAATCGGAATCCTTACTGAGGCCTCCAGGCTCATTTCCCACCATCCCTCCACCCTGCCCACTTCGTCTGCCGCCATCCAGCCACCTGGGTCTTTCTGGAGCCCTCTGTGCTGGGGACGCTACCCTCCAGCGCCTGGACAGGCTGTATCGGGTCATCTCAGAGCCCACGCTCTGGTCACAGCACCACCAACAGTGCTCTGCCTGTCCGTGGCTCCAGCCAGGCCATCAGCCAACCCCCTCGCCCCCCACCCCGCCACTCCCCATGGACACCCGCCTGGTGCACGGGAGCATTGGAGAAATACCTTTTAAAACAAAGAATACACTGATAAACCTTTTCATCAGACTCATCAAGAAAAAAAGGGGGGGGGGCAGGAGAGAAAAACAATGAACACCCAAAGCGTTGTCGAAGCAGCACCAGGCCCCCTAGTGCCTGGGGTCAGGGGTGACCAAGGCCAAGGAGAGGAGGAGAAAGGAAACTACCCCTGCTTCATTGAGCTTCCACACTTTCCCAGCTGTTATCTGGGACCTGATAAGGCCAATCCTCCTTATCCCTGAGATAAGGGGCGGTGAACTGTGAGCAGAGAGAAAGTGCAGGGGGGGCCAGGGCAGGTCCAGAAGGGTGGGGCATCACGCCCAGGCTGAGCTGTTTCCACTTCATTGCCCTCGAAACATCAAGGAATATTTATTAAGCACTTACAACATGCCTGGCACTGCGCGAAGTGATTATCTCCTGAATCCAGCTACGAATGCATGAGGAAGGGGCCAGGATTACTACTATTACTACTACTATCATTATTATTATTATTATTATTATTATTATTATTATTATTATTATTACAGATGAGAAAACTACTTCTGAGATCCCGGGTGCTCACGCATGGCTCCGGGGCACTGCTCCCTGCCCCACAGAGCAGCCCCTGAACCCAGGGCTTCCTCACTCAGGAGCCGCCCACGACAGCAGAAGCACCTGCCACCTGTCAGAGACCCCTGAGCAACAGGGCCGCGGGGACACGCTCGTCCTCCTCTCGGCCCAGCTAGGGCCTCCTCCTTCCCAGCGTTTCCCAGCTCATGAGAGGTGGGCGGCAGCTTGCTGTCCGCGGGCATTGACAGCTCGTGCCAGGAAAGGAAAGGGGGGGGCGGGGTAAGAAACTGCCAAGATGGGCGGGTGTCTGCCCCCTCCCCTGGGGCGAGCAGGCTCAACCCCAACACCAAGGGTTTTGCCTCGGGGTCATTCATGAGGATAACGGGAAAGCACTGAGGGCATCCGAGCTCCACACCAGCCTCCATCCTTGCACTGTGGGGCCCTCTTGTCTGAATATTCCTGGTCCAGGGCGATCACTCAGGACAGCCCATGGCTGGGGGAAGGGATCAAAATAATACTTAAAGCAACACCGTCGGGGCGCCTGGGTGGCTCAGCCGGTCAAGCGTCTGCCTCCGGCTCGGGTCATAGCCTCAGAGTCCTGGGATCGAGCCCTGAGTCGGGCTCTCTGCTCAGCTCTGCTTCTCCCTCTCCCTCTGCCGCTCCCCCTGCTTGTGCTTTCCCTCTCTCTCTGTCAAGTAAATGAGTAAAATTAAAAAAAAAAAAAAAAAAGCAACATTGTCCAGGTGCAGATACTCTTCAAAGTGGTTTTTGTGTATGAACTCATTTCCTCTCCAAGGCAATCCTACGAGGTGGCTACTACTGTCTTTAGCACATGGGAACACAGGCAGCACAGGGAGGTTGAATAATCTGCCCAGGGCCACAGAGCTGCTAAGAGGCGGAGCCAGAATCCACCCCAGGCTGTCCTCTGGGCCATTCCAACAGCAAGTGTGCAGCACCTACTGTGTCCCGGGCCAGGGGCTGGGTACCAGAAGCAGGCACTTGAGGTATGCCAGTGACAACTGCAGCCCACGTGGGGGTTCTAACAACCTCTGAAGCCAGTATTAGGATCACCGTAGATTCTAGTTATTCCTTCACTCAGTTACATAATGGGTACCTGTCACATCATCTCTAATCGTTCTGCTATGCGGCTGATGGGATTCTCCCCATCATACAGACAGGACACTAAAGGGCCAAAGGAGAGCCACCTTGCCAAGGCCACAAAGGGCTGGGTGAGTGTGGGTTCACCAAGGTGGCAGGGGAGACTATTCCAGGCAAGAGGCACTGCATGAGTAGGTCCAGGGAGCAATGGGATGTGCCAGCCCCCTGCCCAGCCCAGCCTGTGCACATTGCATGGGCAGGCAGGCTGGGACAAGTGCTGGGGAGTTCTGAAATGCTGAAAATTAAGCAGACAGGTGGGCTGCGAGGAGTCCAAAGTAACCCGGGATTCTTGCAGGGAACAGGACAGTAGCCAATTCCAGCCTGCCCGACCTGTGATGGTGGGGGGACCCCTGGCACCCAGCAGGGTCTGGTACAAAAGCAAGTAATAGAGAGAAATTCACATTCAGTATAAGCCTACTATGTGCCTGGGCTAGTTCTTTTACTTATTCAATTTATATATAAATATAAATATGTATCTGGGCTCTTTCCAACAAGAATTTGCAGAGACATAACTGAAAACAACCCTGATAAAGTCAATAAAATAGAGAAAAAAGCTGGAAGTCAGGGCCAAAGGAGACAGGAGGCAGTCTTCTGGGGCCTGGTGTTTATTGGCTTAAAGCCTTAGACACGTTTTCCTTAATTTCCAAGGACCTTAGTGGTTTAATCTGTGAAATGGGAATAGTAACACATAAAACTCTCACAGGCTGCTGAGGAGCTCAGTAAAATAATCCACTTAATTAACTGAAGTGAGGACAGCGGTTACCTCTGTGCGGTGAGATTCCAGGCCATTTTTGGATTTTTTTGCTTTATCTATACTTTTTTACAATGGACATACATTAATTAAATAAAAAGAAAATGCACGGGGGTGCCTGGGCCTGCGTGGCTCAGTCCCTTAAGCGTCCAACTCTTGATCTCAGCTCAGGTCATGATCTCAGGGTTGTGAGATGAGCCCCGTGTTGGGCATGGAGTCTGCTTGGGATTCTCTCTCTCCCTCTGCCCCTCCCCCTACTCATGCTCGCACACTCTCTCTCTCTCTCTCTCTAAAATAAATAAATAAGGGCGCCTGGGTGGCTCAGATGGTTAAGCGTCTGCCTTCGGCTCGGGTCATGATCCCGGGGTCCTGGGATCAAGTCCCGCATCGGGCTCCCTGCTCCTTGGGAGTCTGCTTCTCCCTCTGCCTCTCTCTCTCTCTCTCTCTGTCTCTCATAAATAAATAAAATAAAATAAAATAAATAAATAAATCTTAAAAAAAAAAAGGAAAATGCACAATCAAGAGTATTTTTAGGGGCACCGGGGTGGCTCAGGCTGTTGGTTTAAGTATCCAACTCTTGATTTCAGCTCAGGTCATGATCTCAGGGTTGTAAGGTGGAGCTACTTAAGATTCTCCCTGGGACGCCTGGGTGGCTCAGTCGGTTAAGCCCTTTGGCTCAGGTCATGATCCCAGGGTCCTGGGATGGAGTCCCACATCAGGCTCCTTGCTCAGCAGGAAGCCTGCTTCTCCCTCTGCCTGCCACTCCCCCTGCTTCCGCATTCACTCTCGCGTGCATGGACTCTCTATTTCTGGCAAATAAATAAATAAAATCTTAAAAAAAAAAGATTCTCCCTCTCCCTCTGCACCTCCCCCCACCCCTTTAAATAAATAAACAAATAAAAGTAAATTTGGGGAGAAAAAAAGGTATTTGTAAAAATTGGTTGAGATTCCTGGCACTCGACGCAAAAAGGGAAACACTATGAACATTACCCACACCAGGTCCTCAAAAGAGGTTGTTTTCCTCAGCACTAGTTTTACAAACAGGACACTGAGAGATACTATTAAACATGTTCTAAAACTGTTTCTCCACAAATGGCCCCAGGTGCATCCGAAATATTAGTTGAATAAATGAAAAAGTGGCCAAACATCAGACCTGTTTTTCTAGAGCAGGGGCTATCAGCTAGGAGCAATTTTGGCCCCGGGGACGTTCAGCAGTGTCTGACATTTTTATTTTATCCCAACTGTGGGGTGCTTACGGCATCTCATGGGCAGAGCCAGGAAAGCTGTGAAACATTCTCCAAGGCACAGGACAGCCCCCACAACGCAGGATTACCCAGCTCAAAATGTTCATAGTGCCAAGGTTGAGAAACCCTGTCTAGGGCGCTGGGCCAGCTACTCCATCGAAAGAGGTAACCTGAGCCTTCAGATCGGGTTGCAAAACGCTTTAGCTCCACTCCGGAGGCTCTGTAATTAAGAGCACAAAGCTGGAGTCTGACTGCTATGTTCACTCTCCATTGGTCTTAACTGGCAGATAAAGTTTCCCATCTGTAAAAATGGGAATAATACAGTGCTTATCAGCACAGTGCCAGGTCCGTGGTTCTTGATCGCTTGATATTATTGCTATCATGTTTTTTTTTTTTTAGAAATATGGATTGCTTTCTACCAGGTATTAGAGGTTTTTATGGCTAAGGCCTCCCCCCACAACATTAAACTGAAAACTCTCTGAAAGGTCCCATCCACGTGGGAAGTCCCCTGGTACCCCTCTCTTCCAGGGTTTAGCACAACATCGCACACAATAGATGCTCAGTAAATACATGAATCTATGGGCTTCCTCCCCCCATGGGGGGGTGTCCTGAGTACAGGGAGAAGTTTGCAAAAGAGACTGCGCTGAAGGTGTGTGTGTCAAGTGTGGCCCCCAACCTAGGTTTGGGAGAGAAGTCCTTCTCCCCCATGTGTTCTTCCTGTCCTTCCTTGCCCTTACCTATCAAGCCCCCACCCACAAAGGACACCCAGCAGTGTTGAAAGTGACCCATGCCCAGGGCACCCTCCCCCCCCCACCCCCACCACCCCTTGGGAAACTGATTAACTTAGAAAAGGCATAGCTCAGCATGGGAGACAGAGCTGGTCACCGTCCTAGCGGTCAGGCAAACAAAACTCAAAACTGAGGGCGGGGGCTGCCCTGCCCTGAAAGGCCCACAGACACACCCGTCCATCAGACTGGGCCCTCTGGGACAGGGTCTGTGTCCCACCTACACACCACCCCCCCCCACCATCTAGCCCAGAGGAGTTCTAATAACATGTGTCACTGAGTGGGCAAGGGTCCAGGAACCCAACTCCACCACACAGGTGTTTGCAGGGCAGATCCACCCGGAAACTACACCTTGGTTTCTTCACCTGTAATTTGGAAAATCTCCTGCACAGTTTAAATGAGAGTGATAAACGATGATCTGACTAATAATAACTGCGCACCAAGTGCCAGGCACTGTTCAATGCACTTCGCATGCAGTGTCTCTCCCTTAGCCATCACAGTGAGGCATGCACCAAGTGCCTAGCCCAGCGTCTGGTACATTATAAGCACTCCCTAAGTATTACTCTCCCACCTACCAAAAGGAAGGGTCCCTTTTCTGCCCAGTAGTTAATTTGGAAAAGGGAAAAGAGGAAAGAGGAGTCCCGGTAGAAAGGAGACAGGAGACTCAGGAAATCCCAGAGGCGAGTCCTGAACGTGAGACCCACGATGGGGAGCTGAGAAGCGCTGTGCGAAAAATCGAGATGCATTCTGTCGGTGGGTTCCCATTAGGAGGAAGACGAGCGCGAAGGAGGTGACTTTCCGAGCGTGGGATCCGGGAGGGGTGCCCCTCGCGGAAGGAAAGAGACGGGGGAGGGGTCGCAGCGGGAGGACGGCCTGGGTGAGGGGCAGAGGTCTAGAGGAAGGGACCCCCGGCGGGGGGAACCCTCGGGATCGCGGCGGGGATCTGGCAGGGAGAGGCGCCCGGGCACCCCCCTCCCGCCCGCCGCGGGCCCGGGGCGCACTCACCCGGGTTCCCTCCAGGGGCGGGCCACCAGGGCACGGCGGAGCGCGGGCCCGAGCAGCAGCATCTCGAGCTCGCGGCGGAACTGTTCGCGGACGGTGAGCCCCCGGGTTGTTCACAGACCTTGAGCCTGGGGCGCGACCAGAAGGCGGAGCCCCGCCGGGAGCGTACCACCTCGGCAGGCGGGGGGAACGGGTCACACGCCGTCCTCCGCGTCGGGCTCACCCGAAATGACCCCGTATTTCCTCCTGTTAATACGATAACTCTGATTTCGAGGGCACTGCAGAGGCAAGTATGCGACACAGGACAAGGCAGCCCCAAAGAGAAGCTTTGACATTTATACGTTTCCCCCTCGCCTGTTATGGTATGCCCAGCCGCCCTCCGGGGGGGCGGGGAGAGGGGGCGTGAGCCTCCTCGACCAATCAGAATGACACACCGAAGATTGTGGGCCAATCGGATGGGCGGTCTTGGGGCAGCATTCTCCGGCTGGCGAGGGGCGGTAAGAGCCAATGAGAGAGCCGGAATGGGACACGTGGGAGGAGCCGCGGAAGGACAGCGGGTCGGTGCGTCAGGTCTCGCTAGCATCCCGGCCTGATCGATGGGTCTGCCCTTGGCCGGGTGGCCATCCCCGCGGCCAGCCCCGTGCCTCCACCCGGGGGGCTGCAGCCCCCGGGATGAGCCTACCGACCCTGCCTCCGGCCTCCCCCTGGTCGGCACCCAGCCACCCCGCACCTTGGGGCCTGGCGCTTAGATAAATCGGCCGGCTTCCCGGCGGACTAGAATCAGTGAGAGATAAAACCCAGCTGGTCCACGATTAGCTTTCTCTTCAAAGCCCCTGACCTCGTGATGAAGGATAGTTGGAAGAAAGGCAGGTAGGGACAAGGGGCCCCACCCTAAGAGGAAACCACCCTTAAAAGGATTTTACACCACCCTGGAAGGAGCCCTCCATCCTTTCCCATTGTGACAAATAGATGACAAAAAAAATGATTGGATGACAGGCACATGGAGGGTTGATCAGATTAAAATAGCCCACCAACAAAGTCCATAAAACCCCTAGATCTAAATGCCAAATCGGCAACCCTCTCGGGTTCCCTCCCTCTTTGGGAGCTTTGTACTCTATCATTCAATAAACTTTACTGTGGCTCAGTAAACCCTGCTTTGCTGCCCACCACTCTGTCTGGTCTACATCTTCATTCTTCCAAGCAGCCTGACCTAGAACTAGGGGCACCAAAGGAAAAGATACCCTGTAAACACTCAGAAGCGGTTGTCTGGTGCTCCATCTCACCCATTCTCCCACTCCCCCACCCCCCCACCCCCTGCCGTCAAAATTTTGGTTTTCTCTTGGAGAAGTTGTTTGCTTGAACACTTTATTTAAAACTCAGATTCTGGGGGTGGCCTGGGTGACTCAGTGGGTTAAGCGACCTCCTCGTGATCTCAGCTCAGGTCATGATCTCAGGGTGGTGAAATGGAGCCCCCAGATCAGCCTCCACACTCAGCCAGGAGTCTGCTTGAGACTCTTACCCTCTGCCCCTCCCCACCCAACCCCACCCAACCCCACCCCACCCGCCTGCTGATGCTCGCTCTTGGTGTCACAAATAAATACATCTTTTGTTTTTTAAAGATTTTATTTTTTTGACAGAGAGAGACACAGCGAGAGAGGGAACACAAGCAGCGGGGAGTGGGAGAGGGAGAAGCAGGCTTCCCGCTGAGCAGGGAGCCCAATGGGGGGCTCGATCCCAGGACCCCGGGATGATGGCCTGAGCCAAAGGCAGATGCTTAACGACTGAGCCATCCAGGCGCCCCATAAATAAATCTTTTAAAATATCGGATTCTGAAGCCTTCCTGATGGCAGGCTCTTCGGGATTCATTCCATTCCTAAATTAGTTGAAGCTTTTAGAACATTCTCCAAGGGCAACGGAGAACCTGTTGAGGAGTGAGCGTGCGGATGCTGATCGTGGTTCCTCCTTAAGACATTGGCAAAATACCTCGTTTCCCTGGGCCTCGGTTTCCATTTCTATAGAAGGGGGGTATCGCCCGCATTATTTCATGCTACTCCTCTTTCTCCAAGTCACACCCTTTAAGACACTTTGGGGAATTTAAAAAGTGGGAAGTTCAGTCAAGTGCAGGTCTTAAAGATGGTAAAAAATAGACTGGAATTGGCAGCTGTCTCTCCGAATCCTTAGAGAAGACCCTAGTGGGGAGCGGGGCCTGCTCACAGGAGGCAGTGTCTCCCCGAATTTGGCCATTAACGAGAAGAAACTAGAACACTGGACACTGTCAAATCCAGAGTCCCAGAAGGTGGCCCCTCAAGGGCACCATGAAAGGAGGTTAAACAAACGGGGGCCTTTATGATTAGCAGGACCTCAACTGCAAACCAGGGGATGCCAGTTACTCAGCCTGTGATCTCTCTGGCTCACTCTTCCCCTTCCGCAAAGTGCATATGATAACAAATCCCACTCTGTTGCCTTCCAAAGATTTCATAGTGAGTGCCCATATAACAGGGGATGTGAAATTTCCCTATTTTATCACAAACTGGCTAATGACTTTGTTTTGGTGTTTATGCGGCCCTCAGTCTTCCTGCCCCTCCCCCATCACCACTTTATCCTCAATTTAAAAAAAAAAAAAGCAGCACCCTCAATTCTAAGACATTTCACTTTATTTAAAAGAAGCCAATATACAGGATATAAAGGGCATGATATTTACAACAGTAAACAGGTTGGTTTCCGGTAGGATCAGTAGTCTTTCAATGAGTATAAACCCCCCCTTCCCCCTTGACACTAGACCCAACTGGCAGACAAACAGCAACAGTGGGGTGGGATGGAACTTCAGGATATAAAGTCTCCCTGGATGGGGCTAAAAATCAGGTAGATGCTAAAATGTCCACGAAGGGGTCTTGCCGGGGGTGGGGATGGTGCCTTGCCTCCTTTGAGGGCCCGGCAGTGGGAATGGTGAGGGATTTGCCCAAGAACAACACACAGTCCACCCTGAACCTGGAAATCCTCCAGCCAAGGAAAAATCCCTTTCAGAGAGAATTTGTCTCTACCCATACCCACCCAGCTGCCTCCGGACTCCCCATGTCAGGAGAATGCCCTTCTAGAATGAGAGCTCGGTGTCTCAAGATGGTGAACCCAGGTCTGAGGAAGTCCCAGCACCCCGGTTCCTGCCCCAGGACCTGGAGGAGCACATCAAGGCCTGCAGCCCAGGCCGAGGCCTGGAGTAGGTACAGCTGGGGCTGGATGGAGGGCATCTCCTGGCCCTTCCATTCCTGCTCCAGCTGCCTGACCACCTGGGACCCACCAGGGCCCAGGCCCCAAGGAAGCCAAGTGCTTCCTGAACCAACAGTCCCATGGCCACCCACGGTCCGCTGCTTCTCAACCTCTCCCAAACACAGCTGACTTGGAACCGGACCTTGGCAGACCAGAGCATGAGTCACCAATCAGAGCCCACGCCCTGAAGCCGAGCTTGTCCCCTACCTGGTGCCCCCTTTCCCCTCCTCCCCACCCACCTCAATTCTGAATTCCCCACTGCCCGCCCACTTCCACAAGTGCCCCCCGCCAGAGACTTTCAAGGACCAAGGAGCTGGGGGGTCAAGGAACAGGGAAATGGGGTGAAGTGGGACCTAGGCTCTGCTGAAGCCACTCATGGGTACAGGTGAGTGGGCGGTGAGACCGGGGAGGTAGAGGGGCACTGATTATATTCGGTCCAGCAGCGACATGCATTTCTTGTTCACAGGACAACACAGGGCTACCATAACTGCCTACCCTAAATTTAAAAACCCTTTCCTTTCATAAAAATAGATGAGAATCTCTTACTTTATAAATACATTACATTTAGCTTAAGTTACACCTTATATTACCCCCTACCCCACACCCTCTCCCCCATTCCAAGCCAAAGTGGTTTGCTTCCCCGTAGGTCAGATCTAAGTCCGCCCTTCAAAGACCTCAAGATATATTGCTACAAGAAAACAAAGTGTGTTCACTTGCCAATGATTTTTTTTTCCCTGTTTGGAGTCTCAGAGGAGTATGTGTGTATATGTGCGTGCGTGCGTGCGTGCGTGCGCATGTGTCTTCCACAACCAGGGAGCCAAAAGGAAGCTACTCTCCCTGCCCCTCCCCAATCCTCTCTTTTTATAAAACCCCCCAAAATAGGAGAGTGAGAGAGGGCAGCACAGGAGAGCCCATCTGAGAACAACCTTAAAATACCAATGTCAATATGACACTGGGCTTAGAAATAGAAATTTTAGTATTTACAGCTTTACAAAGGACGGACCAGTTCATCCCAACTGGACCCGGTGCTGCCCCAGCGAGCGTTGGGGTCTTTCTTGGCAAGCTGTGGGCTCATGGCGAGGTCACGGGCAAGGGCCCACTGGCAACAAACTCAAAAAAGAACTTGGTGGGGAGAGAGAAAAGCAGCCGGGCCCAGACCCAGGAGGCTGGTCTGCCACACCCTTGCCGGCCCCCACCCCCATCCACCTGCCACAATCCTTGCTCCCCAGGGGAGAGCAGCTATGGAAAACCAGCAGGAAGGAGCTGCTCGGCCAGCGTCTATCTCGGGCTCCTGCCATCTCCATACTCCCTGGACAAACTTCGAGCACCCCAGTCCCAGAGGCAAACGTACACGTACGTGAGGGGGTAAGCATACATAATCACCCAACGCTGACTGCCGAGGTCCCCTTAGTTACCCCCGAATACTTACACTGCTGCCTTATGTCTTAACACTAAAGATAGGTCTGCCACCCTCCCCACCACCTTGAGAAACAACCCGGGGCTGACCTCTGCTCTGCCTCCCAAACCACGCACGCCATTCCCTTACCCCCCTCAGCCCTGGACAGAGGGAGGCCGGGGGCGGGGACTGGGGGGTGTCCTCCCGGAAACGGAAAATCTTTCCAGCAGCTGAGGTCCAAGCCCGACTGGCTCTGATAACCTTTGGTTACAATAAGACTAAAACTAAGACAACAATAACACTAATGACAAAAATAATCAGGTATGTTTGAACCCTGTAACCTTTAGAACAAGGGTCAGTGAGGAGGAGCGGAAGGGGCTGTCTCTCCTCTGAACCCATGGTCCCTCCGCGTACCTACCCAGGGACTGTTTGGCTGGGAATGGAAGCCTCTCGGCCAGACCGCCACAGGGAACCAGCAGGTTCCTGCGACAACCACAACAGAAAAAAAAAGGAGGGGGTGGGGACTCACAATAAAGGCCACCAAGTTCTGATAAATAAAAATTACATACAGTCACTAACATACACTCTCTCTCTCCATATATATATATACATATATATATACATATATATATGTATATATATATCATATGAGTATTATGTACAATGGTTTTAAGACTGCAAAACAGGTGGGGAAATGGAAGAGAGAGAAGGCCCTTACAGGTCGCTGGTACCCTGAGGAAGAAAGACAGGGGGCTGCAATCCTATTTAAAGCCAGAGTCCCTCCTCCGCCTCCACAGGAGAGCAGTAGGTGCGAAGTTCTGGGCCTCGGGCACATTTTGCTCCTTGGACCTCCAGGGGGAGTTCCTGGGCCAATAAAAAAACAAAAACCAGCAATCATACCCACAGGAGTGGGTATAAAAAGAAATTTTTTTTTAAAAAAGCAAAACCTGCTCGGCTGGCTCCAAGCTGAGATCTGACAGGTGGCCTCAACACAGTGCCTTCTGACACAGGCCCACCCAAGTCTTGGGGAGATACTGGCTCAGATTAACTCCCCACTGGTCAGTCAATCGAGTGAAGTATGGAACAGGCTTGCATATGTCTGTGAGCAGAACAAAGGATGGTTCTCACTCCAGCTCCACTCCTGCCTCCTCTGATTAGCCAGCAGCCCTCACTGCCTCCCTCCGCCTCCCTTTCCAGGGCCTGCCGGTGGCCAAACAGCTGGCGACTGGGGGCAGTGGAGAACCCAACCAAGATGGCGGCAGGCGGTACGAACCCAGTTTCATTGAGGAGGGGGTGGATACCAGGCCTGGCCCCCTTCAGGCTTTCTCACAGAGAAATTACAGATCTATAGTTCCTTATCATTGGCTGGGAAGGGAGAGAAAAACATCAAGTCATCAGGGCAATAAAAGACCCCTCCCACCCCACAAAGGTCCCAAGAAAGCAAGCAGTCAGGTGGGCCATGGCCTTGCAGGCCCCCAGCCTCACTACCGACCTTGACAGAACCCCCCCTCCCGAGTCAGTGCTCACCCTCAGGGGCTGCGAGAGAGATCACCCTAGCATCGGCCTCCCTCCCAGCTCCAGGGGAAAACCAGGAGTCTGGGCGAGGGCCTACCTTCCACAATGATATAAGGCAAGCTGCTTTTTTTTGTTTTGTTTTGTTTTGTTTGCATAGTAGTTTAAACACAGTGAGACTCCACTTTCCCCCACAGTGCCTTGTCCCTCCGCTTCGCCACTCGGTCCAGAAAGAAAATAAAATTTTGTCTTCCCTCCCTCCTTCCATCTTTTCTCTCTTGTCAGTAAGTAAAAACACTTGGGGGGCCCCCACCCAGGCCTGGAAAGGTTGCAAAGGCAAACAGCTCCTTCCTGGTGGGTGGGGAGGTGGGCCACCCCAAGGCCAACTGGCACTGGCCAGGCAGAGGAGGGGAGGGCAGAGCTCATGGCCAATCAGAGGAGCAGGTGGGAGGGTAGAAATCCACATTATACCACGCCAGGGGCCCCGCCCTCACCTTAGAGTTTTGTATAAAAACACCTGCTAGGAAGAATTCTTTGGAGCTCAAAGTGGCTCAGCTTAAGGGAAAAGGCACAGTTAACACTGCATCGTCCGGACAGAAGTCTGCATTTGTAATGTGGAGAACAATAGAAATTGACAGCACCATTCCTTGGGTGGGTGGATGGAGAAGGGGCCCTGGTTGGTGGTGGGGTGGAAGGAAGGAAGCAGCGGTCCCTCGGGGCCTCCAGAGAAGGGAGGGCAGAGGGAGTCTGTGTGGTGAGGACTGGAGCCCCACTCCGAGGAGCCTTCCTGGCCCCACGGGGAGTGGGGGCAGAGGCCCCATCACCAAGACCAGCAGGCACAGGGGGCCTCCGTCATCAGCTGACCATGGGTTCCACATCCGCCTCCCGCTCAAACTCATCCTGGATCTCGTCTGTACTTCCTGAGTCACTGCTGGCCACGGAGCTGGGGGACGGTGAATTCCTGGAAAGCAAGAGAGAACAGGGGTCATGCAGAGGGCAGCCTGGGGACTCCTGAAGGGATGCAAGGGCCAGGAAAGACTGAGCGGCCCCTTGTATAAAATCTAATCATCGATAATTCTGCCCTGAGACCCCGCCCTCGCTCTGCTTTCCTTAGACGCTTCTAAGCTCACGAGTTGAATGTGGCCCTCAAGACCTCTCGGGACCCCCCGCATTGCCTCTAATTGCTCTGGGTGCCGAGAGCTCCCTGGGAGCAGGAACCATGGATCAAGCTCCAGTCCTACTCTCCAACCACCTAACGCAGGTCTGTGCACAGAGTAGGTGCTCAGTAAACCCCAATTAACTCAGAGCTCAAGAGGCCATACAGGAGAGTGGCTAGTAGTACTGGGTTCGGATTCTGGCCCTCTCTCTGATGAGCCGGGGGGCCGTGGGCAAGCTGTTTAACCTGCTCCTCCATCTGAACATGCACGTGATGACAAGGGGTTCCGCGGGCAACAGTGAGCTAAAGGGACGACATGCGCCCAGGGCCCCCCACGCAGCTTCCCACTGGGCTGCCCCTCCCTCTTTTATAGCCTGAACCACAGTCATAAAAGAGGAACGATTACAATGAACATATTTGTGCTTTGTGCCCAGCATTTTTCACGTATCATCTCATTTTATTACTGGCATATCTGTCTCCCCACAAAAGGCGCGTGTTCCTAGAAGGCAGGGGCTCTGTCTTTGTTTTGGCGTTCCCTGGCAAATACAAGGGGCCTGAGGCACGTCAGTCTCCTGGGGACAGACCGACCCAGTGGCCCTTGGTCGGAGGACAGGAAAGGAAGGGAAATTGCTTCCCACGGACACTAGGAGCCCCACCAGCAGTGGAGAGGAGTGCCCTGCATACCTCCTCCGCCCAACACCTGGGCAGAAAGTGGGGCACGAGCCCCAACAGGGCAGGGGCTTGGCTGTTCTGTGCATCACTGTCCCCACAGCCTGGCACAGAGCAGGCCTTGGACATGACAAGTAGCTGCCGAGAGATCTATATGAGATCAGACACATAAGTCATCCAGCACACAGCAGGTGGCTAATACTGGATGCACATGGAGGGAGGGGTGGACGGGTGCACAGGTGGGCTGGGCAGATGAAATGGTCCAGGCTGTAAGTTGCAGCCCCACAGATACCCCCCAAGGACGCAACCGCTGAACCCGCAGGGAGGACGGGACTGGGTACCTGTCTGCAGAGCCTTTGATGAGCCGGCGGCAGGTCTCCATCTGCACATCCAGCCCGCGCTTCATGCTGCACATCTCCATGTACTCATGCAAGTGCCGGTTCATGTCACTCTTGGCCGTGGCCAGCTCCAGCTGAAAGGCCCCAGGTGGGAGAAAGATGAGGCCAAGTCACCCTCATTCCGGAACCCTCGGCCACTTCCTCCACACGTCCTCGGTGGTGACAGTGCCAAGCCCCCTCACCCCACCCCCCAAGGATGTCATGCCCTCCGCTCCCTGCATGCCAGCCCCCAGCCCCCAGAACCGCTTCCAGTGAAAGGGAAATGGCTGCTTAGTAACCCTAGGGGCTGCCTTTGCCAGGTCTACCAACTCCACCCCGCTCAGCATCCCACACTGCTTTCCATGGACTTGCGTAGGAAAGTTCTCAGGTCTCCGTTATGTTTCTGACCCTTGTCCTCTACCAATGACACAGCCCCCAGGGAAGGAGCCGGCCTTCTCTTTCTCTAGCAGTCACTCTCACTGAAAGATGTGGCCAAGTGCACAGGATCTAGAACGCAGACAGCAGGCTTGAAGGCTGCTTCCCAGCTGGAGGCCTTGGGCCAGCCACTTGGGTCTCTGTCATTCTCATCCCCTCCTCTGCACAATGGAGTACATGCAGGCTGGAGGCGCCTAGCTACCTCTAGGCGTGTACAGAGGGCATGTGGGTACCAGGAAGGCTTACTGAGTGCCTAGCGTCACTCGATGTCACTCAAACGTCTTCTCTCATTGTTTCGGATCACTATCTCCATTGAGTAACTTAAAAAACTCTCTGGGACAGACAGGGATCACCACCCCCATGTGATCTATTTTACACCCAAGAAAACCAAGGCCCTAGGAGGGGCAGGACCCGCCCAGCACCAGGCAGGGAACTGCAGGCCTTCAACTCACGACCTTGTGCCTGCCGCACCCGTCCAGCACCCCCAACCCCCTCAACTAACAATCGACACCCCACATCGCGGGAGCCTCACCAGAGGGCTCCAGAGCCCGAGCCCTCACCTCGATCTGGCCAATTGTCTCCTGGTACTCCTTGTCTCTCGTCTTGAAGAAGGATTCTGTCTCGTGGATCAAGTTGCCCAAGTTTTCCTCTTGCTGGGGACACAGAGCACAGGGGACAATGAGCCGGGTGGCGCGGGTTGCCGGAATGAGGGGGACAGGGGAGGGCCACCGGGCCAGGGGCTCACCTCGCCCTGCAGGTCAATGGTTGGGTTGCAGTTGGTGAAGTCCTCCCAGAGCAGCAGTGTGTCTTCGTTCTCTTCCCACGTCAGGCTGTCACAGTCATCGTCAAAATCAAAGGTCTCCCGCCTGTGGGGTGACAGCAGAGGACAGGACTGACCTGAAGCCCGGCTCCAGAGGCTGGGCTGGGTGGGGGGAGAAAGGGGCACCGCCCCAATGGGTACGCTCCTGCCAGGCAGCTGTCCCACACAGACGGGGTGCCGGCCAAAGGAGACACATGCCTAATCCGGGGCAGGGTTAGCTCTTTTAAAATGTAGAAAGTGGGGCACCTGGGTGGCTCAGTCATTAAGCATCCGCCTTTGGCTCGGGTCATGATCCCAGGGTCCTGGGATCGAGCCCCGCATCGGGCTCCCTGCTCGGCGGGAAGCCTGCTTCTCCCTCTCCCACTCCCCCTGCCTGTGTTCCCTCTCTCGCTGTGTCTCTCTCTGTCAAATAAATAAATAAAATCTAAAAAAAAAAAAAAAAAATGCAGAAAGTACTGATATATTACTTATACCGTTTTAAATGTCTCTTCGTAAAGAAGCCAGTCTTTAATCAGTGGAGACTAAAGATATTTTCCTCCCCACTCCAATCTGATGACTGTTTTCATTCATGTAACAGCTCATTTCTGGAGCCCCTACTTTGCAAGAGGCGATGTCTACAGTCTTCTCCACAACTTGGAAAGGTTGATATCATGCCCATTTTACAGATGAGGAAACTGCAGCTCAGAAAGAATAACCCACTTGTCCAAAGTCACACTGCTAGCCTGTCACAGAAACTGGGGCAGAAAACCAGATGTCTCCTACGGCATTTTCTTCCCCCAGTAAAACACACCAAGCACCCATTACGTGCTGGGTGCAGGACTGGCCACTAGCATACGTTAAAACCGCACTTCGTTCCCTCCTCCTACCATTCCTATGAGACAAGCATGATTCTTAGTCCCATTTCAGAGATGAGGAAACTGAAGGGCGCAGGGATTAGGTAGACTTCTGGACCAATACATGCTTGAAATCGGGCTTGGATTCAAAGCCTGAACAAATTCAGGGCTTCCCTATTCACTGGAACTGGAAGTAGGGTAACGGACCATAGGGGCTTGCCTGGGACTGAGGGGTTTCTGGAGATGCCTTGGTTCCCCCAGCTGAAGGGGAACTTGATCAGATGGGATGGCTGATGTCTACAGGGCCTAAATCAATTGATGGATCGAATGAGCCACAGAGGAGAATGTGGGTCCCAGGGCTCTCTGTCAACACCCCCAATCCCCCAGGGCACTGCTCCCTACCGTCCCACAATGGATCAGGCTGGGGGGCCACCAGGCAGGGCCCAAGAATTTCTGGTTAAAAGCTGCCTAGAGCACCCCCTGGAGCCAGGTCCCCCACCAAAAACCAGTTTCTGCCAGAGCCTGTAGGTGGCTCCATGAGCCCAGGGACCAGAGTGGGGCGGGGGGGCGGGTGCAGAGCAGCATAAGAAGGCGCTGCTGGCCTGGACTAGCTCCAGATTAGCCCCTGGGGTCCACCGTCACCGCAACACATACTTGACCGCTGACTTCACTTCCTTTCTAGCGTCTGGGATCTGAAGGAAACCCCAGCTGAGGAATGGGGAGCCAGAAAGGACAGGAAGATGGGCAAGAGAAAGGGGTCAGGAGATCGAGAGGGCAGGGCTGAGGAACTGGCCATGGTGCAGGGAAAGTAGCAAATTCCTCCCCTTCTCCTTGGTCTGAAGCCCAAGCAACAGATTTTGATCAAAACAAAACAGCCCTGACATGGGGCACATTATTCAAAGACTTCAGGGGAACTGGCGGGGGGCAGCCTCTGGCTTGGGTCTCAGCCCAGCCCATAGCCAGTGGAGATATGGGGGGCGGGATTCAGGGCCCTGCCCAGGGTGGGGTCAGCATGGCCTTGGCTAGAACTGCAAGGGTGGAGGGGATGATCAAAGGAGATATATATATACATACATATATATATATTTTTTTTTTTAAACCAGACAACCTTACAATCCAATAAATCTACTTGGATACTGAACCTAGTTCAGACCTGTCAACCCCAGGCACCCGATTTTGCATGAGACCTCCTTTGTATAATAGTAGTGCTGCCAGGGAGTCCCCAGACCCAGCTCTTGGAACTGTTCCTTTCAGCCCAGCCCATTCCCAGGCAGCCTAACTATCCCTTGGGAACTTTCTGCAAACAGGGACAATTTCTTCAGAGAAGCCCTTTAATTCACCCAGATGAACCCAGCCTGGGCGTGTGGGGTGGACGATCCCGCCTCAGGCTCAGGAACGCCCAGCGCCACGTTCAGAAAACCTGGATCCAATCAAGGGTCCCCTTCCACAGGCCCTGTCATCACCAAAAGATGAGAATACGACATTCGGAGAGGATGTCGGAAGACGGAATCAGGACTCCAGGAGTCTCCTTGTCCCGCTCCAACAGCAAGCCCCCAAAACACAGCGCCACCTCAGTTCTGTTCCCAGGGAATGACAAGTACAAGAAAGTGTCACACAAATCCATCCCCACCCGGGTCTGACTCCTGCCTCCCTAAGAGTCATCCGGCTCAGAGGCAAAGGAACCAGGCCAGAGATGGTATTGCAGAGAGGGCAGAGGGCGACTCTCTTCTGAACACAAAGACAGCTAGCTGGGGACAAAGGACTCAACCGCGGGCCAGGGGCCCAGCTCTGTTCCAACTCCTGGCACGCTCCTCTGAACCTCAGTTTCCCTATCTGAATGTGAAAGGGCTGGGCTGAGTGGCCTTTGGACTCTGTAATGCCAAGCCAGACCCAGGGCTCTGCAGGAGGCAGGTGGGGAGACCCGTGCCCCAGCTTCTGAACCGAGTACAATGTCAGAGGCCACTGCCTAAACGACACGAGCCCCTGGGGAGGGGTTCTGTGGGGTTTTGTGACGGCTCCTTAGAGCCAAGAGCTCAAACATAGCCCTGCTGTTGGAAACCCAGAGTCCTGGAGGAAAGCGGAGTTCTCAGGGCTCGGGCGCCCAACTGCAAGGGGCTCCAGAGACAGAACAGGCAAGAGCCACTAGAGGGGCAGGAGGAAATAAATGTGGGCCCCAGAGGCCCTGTCGCAGCCCAACCCTCCGACTTCAGGCCCTCAGGCAAGTCACCTAACGCCCGCAGGGGCACCCTCCTCTCCCCTCCCCCACCCCACCTCAGGGCACCGTGTGGACTAGAGTCAAAGATGGATTTGGCTGGACAATATAGCCCTGGACAGACCAAGGCCACAGTGTTCTCCCTGCCCCAGGCGACTCCGCCCAATGAGGTTCGAGTAAACCAGCTTTTGGCAGCGGAGGGAAGGGTAGCCCTGAGGGCAAGTATCTGCCAATGTCCCACTGGGGCGAATTTTCAGCTACTTCTGTGCCATGGCTGAACCTGGAGCGGGTGGCCGCATGCGCGATCGGCTTTCATGAGCCGCTGCGGGCCGGCTCCAGCCCACCACGGACCAGAGCCAGCCCCGGACTCCACCGCTAACCCGCAGCATCTCCGGGACGGAACCTGGGCGGCAGACAGGCCTGGCTCTGAACCTCAGCTCCGGCCCATACAAGTGGAGCACTCATGGTCAAGTGCCTCCCGTCTGTGCGTCTCCACATCCTCGTGTACCAAGGGATGTGGTAATCCAGCCTCCTTGGCTGACTATCTGGAGTCACCGAAGCCTCATCTGTAAAGCCACCCGCCCACGGAGGATGCTCAGTGGCTGTCGGGAGCCCGCCCTCGGCCAGCATGGTGGGCCCCAGGGCGGCGATGGGCCCAGCGATCCCACCCCGGGGACAACCGGTGGGAGTGTAAGGCTCGAGCCCACAGGACCCACCGCTACCATTTAGCCCCTTCTGAACATGTGGAACTCCCCAAATTATGAACGTTGAGACTAAATCCAAATTCTTTCAGAACCCCATGCCAGCCGGACAAGGCACTGTCAGAGCAGGCCACCAGTTTGCAGCCCTGCCCCCAGCAGCCTGGACAGGTGGAGCAGAGGCCCGGGGGCCAGGGCAGCGGAGATACTCACAGCTGGTTGAACATGCGTTTCATCTCGTCTGTGATGTTCATGGAGCCGACCTCGTCGTCCGAGAACCGGTTCACCTCCCCATCCTGCTCGGAGATGTCGTCGTCCGAAGCCACCTTACGCTCTTTCTTTTTGGGGACCACCTGACCCGGGAGGGAAGAGATGGAGGTAAGTGGGAGGCTCTGCCAGGAGGGAGGGTAGGCTGGGAAGGGAGTCGGCACCCCGCGGGACGGATGGAGCGTGGCTGGGGCGGCCACTGCCGGGAAAGATGCGGAGCTCCTCTGAGAAGCAGGCGGCGTTAGCAGGAAGCGTGAGGCGGGACACATGCAGGAGGGAGGTCAGACGGCCCGGACCCTTCCCTCCCACGGTGGGTGGGCCGGCTCAGCTGGGCCCTTCATCAGAGCAGCAGCTGCAGGATCTGGGGAGAGCAGTGGGCCAGACTGGGCTGCAGAGTCCCCCGGGATGTCTCAGAGCCAGCCAGAGAGAGAGAGAGAACCCCTCACAGAGGCCCAGAGGGCTCCATGCTTCAGAGCCCTCCTGCTCACATGCAAAGGCAATGGGCAGGCAGCCCGAGGGTCACCAAGCTTCCTCCACTCCGAGCAGACAAGACACGAGCAAACCAAAGAAAGCCTGGAATGGTCACCCCTGCTTCCCAGCAGAGGGGCAGCCAGCAGGCACGGAGGTGGACGAGCCCAGATCTCTCCCGCTACACCCAAAGTCACACACTTAAAGCGACAACACGCTGGATTGCCCTGGGCTCAAGCAAAAGCCAAACCACGACCCAGAATTCAAGAAGCGGCCTCTGGAGAATGACACGTGCCCTTCAAGCCACTGGACTAGCCCCCAAGCCCTCCCTGGAGGACAGCCCACCAGTGCTAACTGCCCCATTGCCTTGTCTCGGGACACACACTTGTTCTTTGAGGGCTGGGGGTGGGCCCTGAGAGACTCTTCGGTGGGAAGGAAAAACAGGCCATCAGCTCCTCTTGGGAATTCTGAGGCTCATCTACCAGGGCTGAGCCAGCTCACCCGGCGCTCCCACAGCCTGGCCAGGGCTCTCAACCTTGGTGACAGCACCCAGCGGCCCGTGGACCAAGCCCCCGAGGGTCAGGAGACCCGAGTGCCAGTCCCAGCTGGGCCTGTCCCTCCCTGAGCCCGTCACGTCCCCTCACCGGGCAAGTGGCCTCCTCAGCCACAGGATGAAGCATTCAGCCCAAAGAGCCTACGAGTCACCGGGTCCCTGACTCTATGTTGTCCTGGGGAGGCCAGAGTGGGGGCCGAAGCTAGCTCTGGGAGAAGGGGAGTGGGCGGGACTGTAAGGGAAGAGGGCCTGGCCATGCAGGGTAGAGGCCGGGCACTCTGGGACGGGGCAGTGGCAGGGGGGAGTGGCGGCTGGTGAGCAGGGTGACCCTATTCACCTGGAAGATCTTGGACACGTCTTCCGAGTTCCGTTGCTGTGCGACATCGCACAGCTTGGCCGTGATATCGATCCGGCGACAGATGTCCATGTCCACCTTCATGGCCTTTTCTTGGATCTTTGTGTCCAGGTCTGTCATGGGCTGCAGGGAGGACAGCAGGGGGGTTACGTGAGCGAGCATGGGGGGGCAGGGCGGGGCCGTCGCTCCCAGGCTCCTGCTGGGCAGAGGGGTGCGCAACCCCGAGTCCGAGTCCAAGGGGGGGTGCCTGAAGCTTCTGGGGGGAGGGCAGGGCCAGCGCTGCTCAGGTTGGGGGAGGGGGTGGAGAGGTCGTGGGAGCTAAAGGCTTTGGCGCCAAGTGGACAATGTGAGGCCATGTTTGCCGGCCTCCCTAAGGGCTGGAAGGCGTCCTCTCAACAGACACAGTGCCAGTGTTTATTTTGTCAGAGCAAAGAAGAAAGACACCTCCCACTCTTGAAAGACTTCCCTCTCTCCCACCCCTTCTGCCCCACCTGCCCCCCCCCGCCACAGAGGGGCCTGCCATGGTGGTGCGCTCTCCCCAGGCTTCTTCGCATGACCGCGGAGTCTCACCAAAGACGAGGGGGGTCCCCCAGGACCCCAGTGAGGGGAAGCCAGGTGGGCTCCCCCAGCAGCCCCCTCCCCCGGAGGCTTCTGCCAGCCACACCCAGGTCCACAGCCCTTAGGATCAGAAGCCACACCAGGCTGAGTCACCTGCCGTCGGGCTCCTTCTCCTTTTTGGCGGCCCTCCCTACATGCTGCCCGCTGCCTGAAGGGGGCAGGAAACCCGGGTCCCCAGCAGGAAGCAGGCTTTGGTTGCCAACAGCTCCCGGCACCCACAGTCACTCAGAGAGGTTCCAGTCTTCAAAAGGATGCAGACGCTGGCCTTCCCCCACTTTACAAAGCAACCCTGCTGCAGGCTGCTGGCCTGAGAAGCCTCCCCGGCTGACAAAGACCGGACCCAGGGGCCTCCTGCAACCTGCCACTGGGCCCTCCACTGTGCCCAGACATCGAGGCCCAAGGTCACCACCCGCCCTCAACGTGGCGAGCTGGGACGAGTCGGAGCAAACACAAACAGACCGTCAGAGGAGCCCAGGGGAGGGCGGGATGGGTTAAGCAGCAGATTAATGCATCTCTACTCAGACCAAGGGAAGCGGAAGTGGGGTGAGGGGGGCTGGTCTCCGATGCATCCGTCATCCTCATGGGGCAAACGCAGCCAGCCAGGACTCTAACTAGAAGCCGAGCTCTGGAGCCTCGGAGTGAATGAAGCATTTTGCATGATGGGTGTTGGGGGGGAGTGTCATGAAGCTTGGGGCGGCGGCCAGTGGCACTTACGTCACTCATGAGCCCCTTAAACACCACCAGCTCGGCCTTGAGCCGCTCGATCTTCTCATTCATCTCCTCCTGGATGGCTTCAGCCTCCTGCGCCGCCTACACAGGACAGAGTTGGGGGCGGGTTTAGAGGATCAGGGACCCTGAGGGGTGCAAGGTGCTGGACACCGGGGTCCATAGCCCTGGACACCTGATGTCCAACCAGGCCAGGCACCTGCATGCCGGGAAAGGGGTGCCGAGCACCTCCCCCCTGCCCGGCTTCCCGCCGAGCCCAGTCCACTGCAGGGCACCACTCAGCTTAAAACACCTCTCCAAGGAATATCTATCACATGGAAAAATCCCCAGCAGACATTAAGAAGAAAAAGAGCCAGGTTAGTGGAACAAGTGATTCCAATAGGTCAAAATGTGAGCTCGGTCCTTGTGAAATTGCCAATAGTTGACCATCTCCCACCTCAAAAATGGCAATGCCACGTGTGTCCATGTAACCAAACATACACATGTACACATGTAGAGTACATGTGTGTTTGCACAGAAAAGACAGAAGGTCTCCCAGTAATTTATCAAGTATGCAGGGAGGAGGGCAGGTAGAACTGGAGGAGAGTTTTATTTTCTTCTCTCTCTGTTTCTGAATTTTCCAAATATTTGACCGTGAACATGTCATGTTTGCAAATAAAAAGACTTCTGTTACAAAAAAAAAAGCGGGGGAGCAGACATTCATCCTTTTCCTTCTATATATTGACATTACTTTATTCTATCTCTCAGAAGATCAGCGCTTTAAATATCGGAAAGCAATTTTTAAAAATGTTTGAAAGAACTTTGCCTTGCCTTCTCATGGGGTCGTTATTCAGAGGCCTAGTAAGTGAAGTTTGCCGTCCAGGGCACGTGGCAGGTGGGTGAGATGCAGAGCCCAGACCCAGAGCTACCAAGCCAGCACCACAAGAGAATATTCTCACTGGGAGCCCACCCAGTGACACGCCACCCACCCTCTCTAAGGCATTCAGCCCCAAGTCAGTTCCTGCAAGCTGGGGTAGGACAGCTCAAGAGACCATCCAGTCCTGAACTCAGGTGGGGAGGAGAGGGTCAGAAGGAGTCACTGGACCAACATCACCCAGCGAGCTGGGGTCAGTGCTGGGACTTGGACCCAGGCTTCCCTAGTCCCATCCCCGAGCTTTTCTGCAACACTGTGCCGGTCCCCGCTTCCTAGGTCCGAAGCAGAAGACAAGGAAGAAGCCTTGTGGCTCCCTCGAGGAGCGACTGAGGCAGCAGGAGTGCCGGGGCTGAGCTGGGAACGGCCTCCGACTTTGCCCCATGGAGACTGCATCCCTAGGCCACACGGTTCCCGCAAGCCTCTCGTGGTCGGGACCTCCGGGGGTGCTCACCTCCTGCAGCGTGTCCACCATGGTCTGCAGATTCATGCGCTTGGCCAGTTCCTCCTCCCACCTGCAAGAGCCAAGAAGGACAGGTGGTCAGACGGTGGCCTCCCCCTGCCAGTCCAGCCCTCAGACACCAAGCCAGCACCCACCCTGGGCCTGTCCCCAGGCGAGGCAAGCAAGGTGCAGCCGTGAATCCCTCCCTGCCCGCCCTCTGGGAGCTCCCAGTGTAGGGGAGGGGGACAGCCAGGCCGACACATACCCATAACATCAGGCGGGGGTGACAAGTGCCAGGTCCCCAGCATGAGCACCGCACCCCGGGGAGACAAAGGCAAGAGGGACCACCAGGTCCCCTTCACACAAACTGTAAAGTGCTGTGCAAAAACCACTGCTCCTGCCACTGGTGCATCACACCGTATGGAGGCTGGCACTCAGGAGCCTGGCTGAAGCCAGCACCGCAAGAGAGAAACTTATTGTGCTGACCATCATGCTCCGCGGGAGTCTTTCTGTCCAGCGGCAACCCTCATCAGCAAAAAAATCTCCTACACAGCTGTTATCCCTGTCTCACGGATAAGGAAACTGAGGCTCAGAGAGGTTACATGTCTTCCCCAAAGACACTCAGCTAGCTAGTGGATGGGGCTGGAATCCAAACCCAGGACTGTTTTATTACATTAGAACAAAAACAATAAATAAATATAGCTCTCACTTAGTCAGCGTTTATTATGGGCCAGGCCCCGTTCCAGGGCTTTCTCTGTATTGTCTCATTCGAGTACACGTTGGTTAAAGCCCCACAGGAAAGAATAAAGGGCAGGAGGCACACAAGGGCTCACGGTGTACCCCCAACATTAACTGGAGGTGGAATGGGATGTTAATAATCATAATCACTGGGGGCGGCTGGGTGGCTCAGTCAGTTAAGTGTCCGAGTCTTGATTTTGGCTCAGGTCATGCTCTCAGCGTCATGAGATTGAGCCCCACGTAGGGCTCTGTGCACAGCAGGGAGTCTGCTTGAGATTCTTTCTCCCTCTGCCCCTTCCCCCTCCCCCATGGCCTCGCTCTCTCTCTCAAATAAATAAGTCTTAAAAAAATAATAATCCTAATCACCATTCCAATACCAGCTCACCTTAACTGAGTGCTTACTTTGTACCAGGCACCGTTCCACATGACATAATTCAATCCTCCTAACAAACCCCCAGCACAGCTGTATTGTTAGCCCATGTTACAGATGAAGAAAGGAAAGCCAGGCAGAGAGTCAGGGGCCCCAGGTCAGGGTGAGGACAGGTGGAGGCAGGACTCAAAACCCAGGCTGGAGGCTCCAGACTGAGCACTGGTAACCAGGATCCATCAGAGCCCTCACTGGGCTCCCCACCCAGCTCCCTTCCTTCCCCAGAGGAAGCCTGGGGCAGGTTCTTTCCCTCCCTGCATCCTGGGACAGACAGATGAGCTCCTCTCTCTCCTCACCCCATGGCCGCCTCCCTACATGGCCTCAGAGCAGGCAAGTCTGGAAGCCTTTTAGGATGCTGTCGGGGCCAGCTAAAAATAGGCCAGAAGGGAGGAATGGATGAAGGGTGCGTTACATCACTGGCTTTTGGAAACAAGAGAAGACGGATACTGTTTGCACACACAGAGGAAAATTCCTCCTCTCCCCCACACACTCCCCTTCTCCCTCATTCCCTCTGGTCTTTACCAGCCCCCTGGCATTGGTAGCCAGGCCTAGATCTGCCACGGGCTCCGGGGTCCAGCACCTGGCAGGCAGGGGGGCTGGACTCCTGCCAGGGATGAAGGACACAGAGGAAGCTGAGGACGGGCAGCGAGAGAACCTAAGGGTTGAACCCAGGTGAGACCATCTCACGGAGCACCCCCACTGTACAAATAAGGAAGCTGAGATCCAGAGTGTACAGGCAATTTGCCCGAGGTCACCCGGTATGTCAGGGGCAAGGCCAGGAGTCCAGTGGGAGACAGGGATCCCAGGTGGGGAGAGGTTCACAGGCCGCCCTCCACCTGCCCAGCAGCACGGGGCTTCTGGGGCTTCTGTCAAGGGAGGCCAAGGCCCAGAACACGGGTCCGAGCTGAATCATCATCCCTCCTGGCCCTGCTGCTCTGGGGGGGCGAGGGGGGAGGTGGCAGGACACTCAGCTCCAAGCCGCTGAGCTGAGCAGGTGCAGGGAAGGGTTGCGGCCTGCCTTCAGCAACAGCAGGAGCCGCAGAGAAGGAAAGCGACTTGCCCCGAGTCCAGCCCGGAGCGAAAACACGAGCCAGGCCTTTGGATCTCCAGACGGTAGCAGGAGCGAGAACCCCTGACGGGCCAGCCCGGTCTGCGTCCCACGCTCTGAGCTCGGGGCCTCACACACATCTCACTGGTGTTTCTAAGCTGCATCCCGACAGATGAGCTTCGTACCAATGACTGCACGGGCCTTTGTGACTTCCAAAGCCGGGCCGGGTGGGCAGCCGGCAGTCCTGCTCCCGGAAGACCTAGGACAGACCCCCGCATGCCTGTGGTAGCCGGCCTGACAGACCCAATCCACGGCCCACACCGCGGTGAGAAGGGCTGACTCTGCCCGCACCAGTGTTGACGGTGCAGAAAAGCTGTGCCCTTCAGCTGCTCTGGCTCACTGGGGTGGAAGGACAGCAGTGATGGGCTTCTTAAGGGGCCCCAGACGTCCCCACATTCGCTGCAGCCCAGCCCCAGAGGGAGCAGGCAGCTTAACCGAAAACTGGTCAACCAAGTTACGGCCACTTCAATTGCAGTACCTGTGTCCCAGGCACAGTCCCCTCCCCTGCCCTGGATCTGCCCACAGGAATAAGGTGTCAGTAAGGACGGGTGTTTCGGGCAGAGGTGCCCACAGAAGCAAAGATGGGCAGCAGGGGGGCCAGGGAGGAGCCATTCAGAAGGGGACACACCTAGTAGGGGCCAGGGCTCGTTCGATAGCGTGTCCCGTAGGCCAGCTCTCCCACCTGGCCCCCACTGAGCAAATGCGCGCACATTGTAGGCTGTGACGCTACAGAGAACCGCCCCCCCCCCGGCCCCATTCTACAGGCGGGGAGAATAAGGCCCAGAGCACAGAGGTAACTCCAGCCAGGGCCGAGGCGGCCTGAATCACTTGGAGCCACCCCTGCCCACCCTGACCCACTGGCTCATGAAACTTCCAACTTTTCTTCCTTAAAGTGCTGGATACGAGAAGGGAGAGGCGGCACACTGCTTGGTCACCTTCTGGGTGGCATTCACCATGTCGGCCATTCATATACACGTAAAATAGAAAGCACCACTTAACCTTCCCCCAAGGACTGTCCCCATCATGCAGATGAGGACGCAGAGGCTCGGACGGTACCCAGTCGCCCTCCCCCGCTCCGCCTCAGCCTCCTGAATCCTATGCATTCTCTCGCTGCTGTCCCCAACGCCATCTCTTCCCCAGATGTCACTTGTGTTCCCTCCTTGAGCTCTGGTTCCAGGCAGCCGGGCCTCGGGATCCCCGCCTCCTGGGCCGCTTGGCCATGGGACCTTATCCCACACGGCTCTCACCCAAAGAGCCAGCCGCGATGTGGGGGGCAGGGACGGACTGCCCTCCATCTTTCATTTTCTCCACCTCCAGGAAGTGCTCAGGGCCCCACCCCGGCACCAGCTGGGCCCCCACCACACCACGGGGACCTGCTCTCGCCCCCCTCAGCCTCTCCCTCCCCACCCTGCAGACGCCGTCGGACGGCAGTCTCCGAGGGCTCTCTGTCCACGGCCACGCAGCGGCAGGGCAGACAATGATGGAGGAGGAGGGTAAGAACACAAACAGAGCAGTTAATACGGACCGAGCGTGCACCGTGTGCCAGGCACCCTATTCCTAGGAGCGTCACGGGTACAACCTCACTTAAACAAGCCTCACGGTCACCTCCAGGTACGATTATTATCTCCACGTTACTGATGAAGAATCTGAAGGCCAAGACCATTACCCAAGATCACACAGCTGGGAAGGTGGGGTCATGTCTATGTCACACCTTTACTCAGAGAATCTCCAAAACTGAAGGCTGGAAGGGGCCAGGGTTCACCCAGTCCACACCTCTGAGGGTACAGAGAGGAAAACTGAGGCCCGGGGTCCCACAGGGAGTGGATGGCAGAGTGCCCTCCACTCCCTTAGCCCAGGCCACAGCTCACGAGGAGGGAGGCGGAGGGATGTGAGTCTGAAGCCAGGCTCAGCCTCCCCGAGCACCTGCCTCCATCTCTCAGAGCCTGGGTCTCTCCACCTACACAGCCCCAGCCCACCCCAGGGACACTTAAGAAGAACCATCCTGTCCCCACACTCTCTGAAGGTCATGCAACCAGCCCTCAGCTCTGGCGGGACTGGACCTCAGGGCGCATCTCCCGGCCCCAGCCCAGCCTCCTGCTCCCTGCGACTGTCACCCTGATCCCTCCAGTGGTCTGTGTTCAAACCCTCCCACTGCCTGGAGCCTTGAACTGAACAGGAAATCAAGATCCCAGTGAGGAAGGGGCTGACGCATGGCACCCCCAGAGCCCCCAGAGTGCAGCCCAGCATGACCCACGGCTCGGCGGCCAGACGGAGTAGCAGGCAAGGGCAAGGGCCGTCCTGGAGGGCCTCTGCACCAGTTTAGAGGGTGAGGAGGGGCTCAGACTTGGGAGTCCACAAATCGGGAACTTGGACGTGTGTGCGCACGGCATGGAGAAGCCCTCCAGCACCCATCTCAGAAGTCTTTGGCCCCCTGTGCCCTGGCCTGACAGGGCATGAAGGAAACATGAGAGAGAGGCCTGTTCTAGTGGGAGAAGAGGTGCAGAGGAGGGCTCCTCATACAAGTCCTCAGACGAATCGGGTATAAGGCTGGGGGTCCAGGCCTCCCACCAGGACCGAGAACTGGTTATAATTACCATTCCTGCACTCACTGCCATACTCCTGCACCTAAAACCCACCTGCACTTGGTGAGGAGCCTAACAGTTGTATGGATTTGTTGAATGAATGAATGAATGAATGAATGAAGAGTGAATGAATCCGAACCACAATCACTCCTCAGCCCTCCTGCTCACCCCTTCTGCCTGGAACATTCTCCACCTACACCACCCCGGGCTAGGGGCTC